AGCCTTAGAATAGAAAGAATTTGGTTTTGAATCATTAGCAATATATCGTACTGAAGAATGCTGATAAATTCATGAAAACCTAACAAGAAATTTCAGTAAGAATATAGGCAATTAGATCATACGAGATATGAGCTGAAATCTAGAACTGCAATTGGGCGAGACAGTGTTTAACCTCTGCAATTAAGCTGCACACGCGTTTGACCCCAAGTCCTGCTTCTTGCATTTAAGGATTGTTGGTTTTTCTAGTTTTTGTAACCGTTATCTTGTTCAATTAATTTAATTCTACTTAACTAATGACACGATCTTAAACGAAGGTAGCTTCTCGCGTGGAACAATGAAACTACATATATCATTGGTACTTAGCCTTCAATGCGTTCGTTGTCCCACTAATTGTTGCAAACGTCAACCTGAAGCCTTGTCTGCTTACCATGTTGATAAAATCAGGGTTTAGCGGTTAAGTGCTGGCGCCCATGAATGTAGCAGGCTTTCTTGCATCAAAAAACTGTTTTTGAAGGTGTTGGTATTTGTTTCAAAGGTTGGTTTCAGTCACATATCAGACTTCAAATAAACAAACTGTAGCTAGCACCATAACTGTAATTTCTTCATTGCTTTATAAAAGTTGTCCCAACCTACCCGATCTTTGTAAAGCTGAGCAAATCTATTTATCTTTTTATGGGTTTGCATTTAAATTGGACTATTTCAAATTGTTTCCCCTCAATTTGGGCACCAGTGGAATCAGCCGACTACTTCTTTTAAACCACCAAAAAATATCTGCCCCAGTGCCTCAAGAAACAACATTTTGCCAGTAAAATCTCCAAGTCTTGACTGGTCAATCAGAGCTTAGCTGGGTAGAGTATAAAATATAACATAGTTTCCTAACGTTGCCATTCTCGTCTTATATGGTCAAGTCGTTCCCTGATGTTCCCTGTATTGATTACTCACAACCTTAAAAAACTACTTTAAAATGACGCTTGCGATGTAAGTGATTTTTACGACGATTAAAAAACATTATTCCTGTTCAACTGTTGTAGATAGTTTGCTATTTGCGAATGAAAGTTAGGTAATGAGAGTTTCTTCACACAACCACATTTTCTGTATTCAGAGTTTCGTACAAGTTTCTCAAAAGTTCATGTGAATCAATAACCTGACATGGTTTTGCTTTATACATGTTGATGACTGGTCAGCAATTGGTTTAAGATTCATTTTTCTGAAATTCCAAAAATATGTCCGAAAATATTTTCACAGGAGTTTATTGTCCGAAATTTTACCCGCTTTAAAGTTTTGAATTCAATGTACTTGCTTCTTGTTGGTCTTTCACGTAACGTGGAATTACGCATTTCCTTTATCATAATTTTATATGTTTTCTTCATAAGAATATTTTAATACGAAGGGGTCAGTCATCCATTGACCAGTCATCCACCATCACATGTAGGTTTTTTTAAATATTCTTTGTACATATAGTGTATGTGGTTCGATTCCAGTTTTTGTTGGGTTCACCTTGTGGTAAAAGGTATAAAGTCGTTGTGAGAGGAAAAATTTAAATTTCTCGAGTCTTTGGATATTATTTGTGTTACATTTATATAAAAGAACGTCTATTTATAAACTTTTCTCTAAAAACCTGCAAAAAGCAGCTCAGCATGAAAGCAAGGACTGAGGTATTTACTTCCTAACGGCTCATTTCTTTGGAATGCTTTCATTTTAGCTTAAGTGTAAAAATCAAAACAGTTTGCTATACTATTGTATATTCCTTAATGTATGCATGATTCATAAACGGATGGAGGTTCATTTTCATGATAGCACAATACTTAGAGGGATTATATTTACTTCATACACTGCATGCCACCTGCCTTTGATAGCAGATTTAAGTTCGTGCATAATCCAACCAAGGTTTTTGGAAGTGCGGTTGTAGATTTTGTCCCGGTAATGGTCTGCGGAAACACTTCTTTTTAGGCCAAAAAGGCCTGAATAAAACTGTCTGAGAGGGCACTGAAAAAACTGTTGTCAGAACGAAATTCATATTGTGGGGGGGGGGGGGGGGGGTGTTGTTGAATATTGCTTAACCAAAATATTTTTTGTTAAACAGAAAAGTGGATTGGATACGTGCTCAAAATTTTCCAAAGTAAACCGAAGGTGTGTCATCATTTAAGTAATGGGATGTCGTTCCTTTCCACTACAATCGCTTCCACTACAAACTCCTTTTTCAACAACCGTTGGTGTGCTATAGTCTGCGTCACGTCTGCGTGCCACCCCTACTGTGTCTATCACGTCCTTGAATTGAATATATCGCGTGCCTGATGGTGCCCAGAACGTGATTTTAATTTTTTGTTAAAACGTTAAGTATTCAATTGTTTGAAATCGCACCAATAATCCCAATTTCAACAATTTGAGTTAGCTGATCCTGGCTTAGACAGACAGGGCAACAGCGACCTGATAATATTATCTCTGTTCAGCTATAAATCAGTAATGTAAACGTCCTTGAATTTAGTTTGCATTTAAATTAGGCCAGTGCACATCGAGGGGCGATTCACTCTTGCAAATAGCGTACGAGATTTTGCCTAAAACAAAAGGATTTCTGGGGTTTTTCAGATAAAACAATAGGATTTTCACGAAAGGTGTACGAGATTTTCTTAGAGTGATTCGCCCCTCGGTGCACATAAGGCACTTCATTGTTTTATCGCCATCTCAACTGCATTTGCTGTGTTCAACTTTGTTGCGTACTGATAAAGGAACGGAACAACATCATCGTGACTGGCGTTGCTGCGATTGGGATCAAGTTAATCAAATTTTCAGCTAACCTTATCTTCTTCACGTATGGGTTTGCATTTGTCCTTAACTGGACATGTTAGAGGGGGTCCGTCATGGTGGATTAGGCAGGGGAAATGGTGACATTAATTACATTAAGTATTCGCTATGTTTTAGGTGCAACTGAAAATAAACATAAAAGAGGAATTATGGTCTGTATCTAACGTTCAAAACCACTTTTCAAGTTTTGCCCACGATTTGTAGCTGGTAGCGTGCTGTCTGTACGCAGGCTACTAGTTGGGAGATGAGTCTAGATTCCTTTTCTTTAGGGCCATAACTTTATTCATTTGTCTGAGCCAATGAGAAAGTGCATCATATGCGCATGCGCATCATGGCTTTTGGACAAAATTTGCATCTCAAGGCTGTTCGCAACATTGATCAAATAAGTTTATGTCATAGTTGCATATCATAAACAAAACAGCCATTTCCTGAACCTTTTAACACTCTTGTGAAACCCTTTTCTCGAAATTTTCTTGGTCTTTTGGGTTGATACTGGCTTATTCCCATAAGTGCCACACAATACATTGTTGAATGTGAAAAACATATCGGTTTTAGCTGCGTGTGTGCATATGATTGACAATTTTGGAAGTCAACGGACCTTCGAAACATGCTGGTTCGTCTCCTAAACAACTACGTGCTTGGTGTTTCTTCGGAAAATTGGTTCATTGTATGTAAACTCTCAGTAGACGTAGCTTCTTTTTGCGGCCGTTATTATCGTAGTGTGTAGTGCTTTTGATATTATAAAGTAAAATACAAACGAATTGAAGTAAAATTCATTTGCTTTATAAAGTATTATAAAGCAAATGAATTTTCTATCTAGAAATGCATAACCCTCCTATATTTTTGAAACGATCTACTTATTCCCGATGACTTTAACCACAGTTACTATTCGGTGGTGACAAACTATACTAATATCTGTTCTGCCCGCTGTATCAAGGATATTTGTGAAACTGGTTTAAACCAGATACCTTAAATTCCCTGTTTAGCCCCTCTCTCAATAAAGCCCCCTCTCTCTTATTAGCCCCCCTTTTCAGAAGGACAAATTTAATTAACCCATTTTCAATCTAGCCCCCCCCCCCAAATTTTCACTGATGCTGAAATAAGTAGACTGGACAAAAAACGGAGATTTTCATTTCATTCATTGGTCGTTCAATTCTTCGCATCAAATCAAAATTCACACCATGTCTCCAGAGTTAATGATTATTGACGATGACGATGACAATATTATTGATATAGAAGGCTGCTTTGATGTTTTTATTTCGCAAATAACAACAAATTTTACCACTATCAATGGTTTTCTATTACAAAATATTTATTACGCCCCCTCTCTCAATTTAGCCCCCCTCTTTTATAAGCCCCTCTTTAAAGTGCTGAAAAACAATAAGCCCCCGGGGGGGGGGCTAAAAAGAGAATTTACGGTATACGAATTGCTTGACTCTAGAAAGCTAATAAATAAAATCCAGTTCGGTTTTGATAACTGCACACTGATATTTCTCATGTCAAACACAAATGATTGCTATCTGAACGTCGATGAGTGTAAATTCAAAGAGATTTGATACCGTCTACCATAAGACATTACCGGAAACACCAAAATAACGGCATCTCAATTCTCAAGAATTGAACTTGATTGGTTTCCTCATATTTCCATAAAAAGCGGCAATGTTGCAGATAAAGCACTGTGAACAATGTTTCTCTCGTATAGAATTGTTTATTTCTGTTTCTTACGTGTCACTTCCTTATAAACAAAGAGAAAACGATTGTTTTTCTTAACGCAATATTGTTGCATCCTTTTTTAAACAAACAGCGTATCCTTCTTTAAACAAACAGCTTGGAAGTATCATAAAAAGGCATTTTCGTTGCTCTAGATAGTTGTATTTTTTATCCACAACTCACAAAGAGTTATTACAATAAATTGCAAAAGTAGTTTTCAAACGTCACCATCAAAATTCTAAGCAAAGAAATGCCATTTTATTCATTTATTACTTTGCATGCATACACCTGTGAACGACATTTGTTAGTTGAAAAAATAAACAAAATTATAGAAATATAGAAACCCAGACATGTTTATCAGGAAATCCTGCGGAAAACCAATTTTCTGATATATAAAAGAAAAAATTCTTGTTTCAAAAACCTATTGGTGTCCAAAAGCTGTATGTGTTTTTTGTTGTATTCAATTTTTCTTCTTTGTTTTTTTTCAGTTTACAAAATGGTAGAATTCTACCACCCAGAAACCAGGCACTACTCAAAAGTGGTCGTCGATGAAGCTAACAAAAACCTCATAGTTGGGGCAAGGTAGGGGTTCTTTTTTAAATTTCATTTTCTTATGCAACTTGAGATAAAGAGTTATAATATACTGTTTAAACGAATTTTCTTTTTTATTATTATTTTAATCATATATGCCACTTAATTAAATAATCTGGGTTAAATTAATTGGATTATGTTGACAGTTTTGATAGTTTTAAGGGCTCGTTGGTCAAACACTTTCGTTTTCTATCTATTAAAACACTACACATGGCATAACTAGATGCAAGGCTAGTTGTGGCAGGTAAGTAACATGTAAATTTGGATTGGAGTGTCACAATGATTCACTTATATGGCCTCTTCAGTAGCGGCGCCACGGGGGGGGGGGGGACTGGGGGGACACGTCCTCCAAGTTCTCAGCAGAATCGATTTTGTATTTCGTCTAATTTCGATGAGAAAATGTTGGGGGAGGGGTAATATTTTGACACCGTACTTTTTGTGATGTAATCCTATGATTTTCAAACGGTCAATTTTCAAGCAAAAGTTAGTCATAGGCGTGTCTTTCGGATAAAATTGGTGTGTCCTTGTTGATAAAAGGGCGTTTTCTGGTGGTTAAAAAGGGCGTGGCTTAAATTTTGTTGGTTTGTGCCCCCCAGAGCGTAGTGGCTGGCGCCGCCATTGGCCTCTGGATATACAAAGGCAAAGTCTACAACTGAGGTTCGAACACAAGGATATACTTTTTTTATCCACAATATAACACATACTCATAGCCAGGCCTGTGGGGTAGGGATGGCAAACTCCCCAGAAAAGTTACAGGCAGACATTTCAGCAACTTTTCAAATTTTTTGCTTAGCAGCGAAAGATTTTGAGCGCCAGGCACTATTTCAACAGCTTTATTTACTTCTAATAGAAGCAATGACTTTCTTTCGGTGAGACCTCCCTCAGATTTTTGCATCGCATCATTGTTGGGTTCATTCAATCTATGCCTTTAAAATAAATTGAAACAATTCCAAACGATGATTTAGAGATTATTTGCAAGAATTTTTTCTTGCTTTTCAAGGCGTTCATCGATGCTTTTCTTAGATGTTTATTTTGAAAATTTATGAAAACAACCTCATGTGTCACTTCCTTCTTTACAAAATGATGTATAGAAATATCTTTGCTCCAGGCAAAATGTTTTTGTAAAAAAAATGCTTCTTCATATTATCATTAACAATATAAACATGACCCAAAAAACTGAAGGTATAGCGTATTTAATAAAAAACTAAAGAAATTCTTCTCTACGACCTACAGTAAGCGAACGCTGAATGCAAGTGGAAAGGTGCGCCCGGGCACAATCGCATCCCAGCATCCCTTGCCAGTCCACCAATGACGCTCTCATGGAAGAGTTTGGAAAACGCCCCAACCTTCCCCCAGACGAATTCTACCCTAGGTGCCTTTCTCGAATTTCTTTGTATCATTTGATTGAAAGTTTCCTAAACCTGGAATTTAGATAGAACCATTCATGGTCTGTTCTTTACGCTTGTCAGGAAAAAAGAAAAGCAGTGACCTTTCTCTAAACTACTGTATAGTTGGGTAACCTTCCTCCGTTTTATAGCCGTAGAACCGTAATGTTTTCTGGACTCTGCCTGTCCGTTTGGATGTTAAATTGAATTTTATGCTCAACAAACGTTGAGCCCTGTTGAGGCAAATATTGAGAACGACTTACAAAGTTTTCATACATTTCAAGGGATGTCTTAAATAACTCTTTGATTAATCTGCCCTTATGATGGTCAAGCCCGTTCTATCTCCTGCATGGTTTTGTCCCAGTCCCTGCTAAGTCTAAGAATTATTCAAGTACCCCTCCCTTAAATAAGCTGTGGATTTACCTTCCCGATTTACCTATGTTGTTGTTACACACTAGACAAGTTTAAGCTGCTTTCATATCAGTTCCTTATTGACATTGAGATGTCTCTTATTGTGACCTAAACACGCTCTTTCAATCTGAAAATAATAACCTTTTATCACAGAGGGTCTGTTAGTTTTTAAGCAAATTCAATTTAATGCTTATCATCCGAATATGGTTTATTATGGTTTTCGTGATGTTCCGTTTGTCAAGCGGCCACTTGGGGCTCGGCTCGTCTCGCACTGCTACAACCTGTCTCCCACTTAGTTTCAAAGGTTGATAAAATCTTACATAGTTTCAAACTTTTTGATAAGCTATTAACCTTCGATAACATGGCAGTTCTATGTGAAAGTCTATTGCAATAATGTCTATCTAAACATTTTTTATGCAGCTGCAAACTTAAACAACTGAGGATCCTATTACCTATCCCATTGTCTGCCATCCTATTGCCCACAAAAATGGCGATACGTTAGGTGAAAGGCGAAAGGTTAGGCGAAACGGGGAAAAGTTTGGCGAAATTAAGCGAAACAGCGAAAGGCTAGGCGAACCGGCAATAGCCGCATTGGTACATTCTTGAAAAATATTTCATTGTAACAATTCATTGTTTTGATATTGAAAGATAATAATAATGAAAAATCTATTCTTCTGGATCTATTTGCCTCACTGAAATTTATACTAGACGAAACAGCATCTAAAACCGCATTCATCTGAGGAAACGCCAATAAACCACCAAACGTCTGTTCGGAGCAGAGTGCTTCTGCGAGCAAATCCAACTTTTTGTATTTTAACCTGAAGGTAATGTAATATGCCCAAGGACTGCAAAACTACAGGCTGAAAGGACTAAGTCACGAAAAATATCACAAAATGTACTTGTAACTATAGAATTAACCCTGTCTTGCTTTTGGCTTGTTGCCTGTGTAACCCTAACAGCCTTATATCCCCAACAATCTCCCCCAGTCCAAAATAGGCTCCGCAGTCCCTGAACAAGCTTGGTTATGATTCCTGATCTATTTTTCCAGGCTACACTTTACACGAACCAAACCTATTTTATGCATAGCTCCCAAAAAGGAACGCTCTACTTTATGTCCAAATTTGGTTGGCAAATAGGCCTGCTTCCGAAAATATTTTCAGCCAAACATCTATTCAAAGACGGCGTTACGAAGGTGATGACGATAAGGAAAAAGATAGGAACCAAACACATTATTAATATTCACTATATATATATTCCATAATGACACGCTCAAGCGTTGCACATCTTATCTTGTTCTTTGTAATCAAATGAATAAAGTTAGTTTTCGATTAAATGTGTACAAAGAGAGTAACCTTATCTGTTTTCAAAGGATGTTTTCAGCCATTGGCGCTCAACTTTCATATTAAATGGCCTAAGTCCAGAAAAAAATTCCGTCTTTTAAAAATAACCTCAAGCACTGAAAACCTTCTCAGAAAATTGTGAAAACAAGGCAGGTATCCTTGTGACACTTTTTTTATTTCTTTCACTGGTCTCCCTTGGGGTCGTTAACCACGTGACTGCCATGTTATGAAGGCTCTGGCAAAAGGCCAATGTCTTTTGTAAATAACTTTTCACTGACATTTTCTCCTTATCATACTTGAATGTCAATCCGTTTTCATTAAATTCAGTTATAAAGGATACAAAATAAGCGAGAATCTATCATTGTTAATGAATATGGATAATTAAAATCCATCCGGATAGATTTTTCTGGTTTCCCTTTCACCGATCCGTTTTTTTCAGCAAAACCTCCAGTGTATTAGTACTTTGTTTAGCAATACTCTCGGTCTTTCCCACGTATCAAGTCTTTAGACTTTTGCGTATATTTATTTCAACGGTGTACCAAAATCCCCTTATCTAATTTTACTACTGTTCAAAATAATTAATCTTGTAGCAACCACACTGAAGTCGACTGTTGGTTAATGTAAAAACTGTCATCTACTGACATTTATGTAAAAGGAAAAAATGTTAAGATGTTGCAAACATTTTCATAGAACGCTTAGATGGTTATCGCAACAGACATAAAACTCAAGCTGCATCTAAACTCAATTTTTACCAAGAGTTCAGCCAGCATCAGTCACTTTTATACTTGGCTTCATGGCCGTCGTTTTGGGGCCGAGAGGAATGTGAATCCCCTTTGAAAAAATATTTGTTGCAAAAACGAGAAGTTTCATGCCTTCTAAGTGTGGGTCATCCACCTTATCGACAAATGGGACATATCAACCCTACTTGACCACACTACAATCCTGGCCAAAAATAGCTGGGACATTTGAACAAAAAAGGAATTTTTGTGCTATATCTTCATATTATATGCGCTGGTGACCTAAACCCCCTTCTCCCCAGTGTCAATGTTGGTTAAGATGGTTACGGATTAAGTGGGGGTTACTACATCGGTTACCAATCCAAATACAACATTGATTTGAGGGGAAGGGGGCGGGTGATTTGTAAGTAGCTTCCTTTCTTGCAAGTATCTCAGCATTTTCGGCCAAGATTGTAGGTAGCTACAGCCCTGCTTGGCTTATGTGGGTCAACGAAAAGATTCGAAAATATCCATTCTCTGAAAATTGTTATTTCGTTTTTACCGGACTGGCATACTGAGCTTAGCATAGTAAGGTAATAATAGTAATAATGAAGGCATTTTTATAGCGCCGTATTTCCCCAGGGCTAATAGGCGCTAAACAACATAAAATTTACATAAAAATAATTAACATGAAAATTGAGGCTATTGAGTATAATTAACATCGGTTGATAAAATATACATGATCCTATGCGCTTAACAAAATAACCGTTATTGACATTATTATAAGTTAATCTACTGAATATCATTTATATTTGAAGTCGCTTCACTATATTAGGTAAATAGGTATTTCTTTAATGCCTGCTTGAAATTATTCAATGAATCTAGAGATCGAACTAAATACGGAGGTGGACATAGCTGGGCTGTAACTACTATTTTTCTTAGAGGGGCTCGTTCAGCTCCAAAATGATAAGAATTCTTTGTTTCCAATCTATAATCAGTTTGTTTCTAAAGCATTCAAACAATGACACCCCTCTAATAATTCGATCATTCTAATACTACTGGGCACTGTTATCTAGGACTAATATATTGCATTTTAATGGAAGAGGATTTCAAATTAGTATATCATAGAAATTGATATTTTGAAATATTTTGATGCTTCAAAAGCACAACAAATCAACGATCTACTTTCAAAAATATAAAAGTATGATTAATTCATTTCAATAAAGAAGAGATTAGTTTTAACGAATATCCAATCTCTTGAAATTAATAAATTATTGTAAAATATCTGACTTTGCTTATAGTCCGTGCCGTGTACACAGTGATGAGCCACATCTTTTTATAGTAGCTATGTGCTAGGACTATGTGGACCTATTTGGTCAAGTTTTTAAGCGCTTTATATTGTGAGTTCCAATCAAGGCACAAAAGACCCATTGGTACTCCTAGGGTAGTGCAGAGCAGCGAAAAACTAACTAGGCCACCATACAATACGTGCTGGCACAGGACAATTGTTAGTACTGAGGAAAGTCAAAGCAGTGTAGAATGGACTGGTCTACCAACGCTATGCTTTTAGACCAATACTAATTTTCTTCCCAACAGGCGCTTCTTCTTCGTAAATATTGTATGAGGACTCATCTTTACCACATATCATAGCAATTCTAGCAAATATTTTTAAAATCGATTTTGTTAACTAATCTCACTTGCTTAGAAATAAAAAATTCTTCAGAACTATATTTAAGTCATATTCACCCGTTGATGATATACTTCACGTACTTGTTTCATTTTTCATTTAAAATGTTTCCATCACGGTTGCAATTACAGCGACAAACAGAAGGTTTTATTTACTTCATTAAATCAATGCATCTTCTTTTAGGAACTACCTGTTTGTTATTGATGCAGAAACATTCATTTCAAAGAAAGTATGTATTGTTTGCAAATAGATTTGCCTCTCTTCTCTTTTTGCCTAATAACCATTCAATGTCTTGTTCATGTTTTAGTTTACTGATCTCATTTCGTCTTCGCTTTTGCGTATACTGTAATTTTACTTTGATTGCTTTTATTCCGCCCCTGGGGAGCAGGCTAAATTCTTGGTCTCTTTCCTGCCTAAACCAATAAACCAAAATATGTTTAATATGGACTTAAAATGCAGAGAATTTTCTTTGTTTACATTTAGTTTATACTCGTAAAGTATTGTTGAACTTTCCCAGCGCATATATGATTTGTAGTTACAATGTTATCAAAAGCCGCATTTTGAATAAATACCGTTAAATTTCTAGCGGGTCCTTTTTTTGCTTACGGCCCCAGAGGCAATTCCCCTCCTTGATCTCTCTCTCAGTGGGCCTGTAGCAAATTTTTAACAAAGTAAGAGATCTAAGCATAAATATGAAAATCTCGTTATTAGCTTACACTATTATCTGAGTGTCTGTCAGTATTCCTATTTCTGGAAGGACACTAATTTTGAAACCAGCTTATCAAACTCCATTCACTTGATCCTGAACACAAGTGTGAACTTGAACCATAAACGTCATACCTGTAAATTTTTAGTAATGACAAAACTGCTTTTAAGAATGAGACAGTGGACACCTTGTTAGCTGGTTGCCTTGGGAAAAATCCTTGAGTAACGGAATTTGTTCCCCTCCCCAAGTTCCATCGTCATTCTAATACAATTTGCAACTACAATCAATTCGACTCCGCTTTTTCTCGGTTTTCAACCTATGGTACTTGCAAGATAGGCAGTAAATTAACCATTTGAAATTGATGTTTTCAAGAGTGTTGTTAAGATGATTTTTTACTAAGGATTCCAGAGCGTTGTTATTTATTGTTATGTTTAAAAGAGGAAATTCTGCACAAGGATCCGGATAGAATTTACTCGACGACAATGTTTTTATTTGCTTTGTTTTCTTCAAATATTTGCCTTTTTCTTCGTTGTTTAAATGTTATTGTTCGCTTATTATTCCGTTTGGTATCTGATCCATCCATTTAAGTATGATCTCATGCTTGTAGAGTCAATAGCCCTGCCTAAGAATGCCTTGAAAGGCAGTTCATGGACGCATCTGTGATTCATGGCAAGCCTTTGTTGTATTTTACCTTAACATGGATGATGGAAGATTGCCACAGTTAGCAGATACCATGCTAATTCCATTTCATTTGTGCTCGGACTTCTGTTTTTTAAGTTTTTTGAATATCCTAACCATATTTTTCCAGGCCTTTTATTAAAGAATATAATGAACAGCGTTAATTGAAAGATTTTTATATGCCAAAGTTCAAAAATCCAAGATCAGCAAATTTTCGTATAAATTATCACCACATTTGATACTACAATAATATAAAAAATTCCAGTAGGGAGTTACAGTTTTATTCTTGGGAAAGGGATTAATGAGAATAAGAGCTAAATTGCTGGAAAGATTAGTTTGTGTAAAAGCTTTGCTGTAACCTGGGGTTAATGTGAAAGCATTCTTAATATATATTGACCAAAACAATGTTAAAGAAGATTAGCACCGCTGTATTGTTTAGCAGCGTGTCTACTTTCTTCTAACTGCTTAGAATAGAGGGTCAGCAGGATCATGCTCTTCAAAACTGTAGAGTTTAGAAACATTCATCCCATGGCTCTTTCTTTATATCTTAGCTGCCCTCTTTTTTTGCTCCCCTCCTTGCGTGAAATCTAATGGAACAGCATGGAGTGTACCAAGAAATCACTCCTGCCTTCTGGAAGCCGCTGAGGTTTTGAAATATAAGGTATAGGGGGATATCCAATATAGCTATCTTTCCTTCTGGTGTAGGGTCCAATTTGCTATTCCTTTCAAGCCTTTTGAGCTCATTCTTTCAATCTAAGATATCGCGTAGGCAAATCCACGAACTAGTTGACTTCCTTTTATACTAATCCCCTATGCGAAAACAAACTGTGTCTCGGTAAGGGTCCAGCCACACACCTGCTAGCTTAATTGTTCTAATTAAACATGAAGAGATTTCTTTTCACTTGATAAAGGCATTAATTCATTCTCTCAAGGATTTTCAGATAATCTACCAAACCCATGATTCTTGGAAAAGATGCCAACGTTTGAGCGTATGCTTAGGGGGCAAACGTCAGCGCACCTTCCGTGTATTGCTTTGGGGTATCACTGTACTGAACCTATAAATTGCTAGCTATCAATGTTTTTTTCACTTCAAAGCATGTATAGTATATATCAGCAAGAACATGAACGAAACAGGACAAAATGCCGCCCTAATCCTAGTTGGTTGGGCAACGAGGGCAGCTACCTTGGGCAGCCCAAGGACAGCAATGCTGGTGACAGAAATGGAAAGTAAAATCATTCTGCCATCCTCAGGGTGTTACGGTTGTTTGTCTAAAGTAGCTGAAATTAACCACCACTTAATGCAGCTAAGCTATTTTGGGTGCTTAAAATTTTTTACGTGCAATTTCTTCCTAGAAATAGTGTTTAGTGGGCAATTTTGTATGGCCTTTATACGAACAACGAGGTTTTCAAAGTTTTTTTAGCCTAAGACTGTTGCTTAAAAAGATTTTAAGTCAAAAGTTTTCATTATGAATTTCAATGTTTCTTTTGCTATCAATGGAAAAGTGCGGCCTCTTTACCCAAGAGTTCTTAAGGAAGTTTTTTCAAATTATGGCCCTTGTTGTAGCAAATCCTCCACAATAATTTTGCCAATGAAGTTGCATTACCGGCACGTGCAAGCGGTGTTTACTACATAAACAGTAACAAAACCAATCGTTTTATTTTCAAATAGCTAAATATTTAGATAATTATTTCTAAAAGATATGAAGTTTTACTTGTTCTTGCTCTTTATAGAATATTTCATGGCGAATGTCTAGCAGCATGCAGAGCTGTCTCAACAAAGGCCGCATCAAGGCAAGGCTGTTTCATTTTTATTTGTTTTAGTTACTTTTCATTTCTTTCATTCGCGTTCGCTCATTCGGATTCCACCTATTCTTAATCAGAGTCATTCCATTGAGATACCGCTTCGAAGTACCCATGGAAACAGATGCTGGAACAGCATTCTTTTTATAGCTCATGAAAAACTCTAACCTCAGCTCAGATTTAATCAGGCTTTTGCTGCTTGAAACAATTACAAATTTTAAAATGATGGGCAAAAAACATATTTGGAGCCATCTTTGTGGTTTATTTTTTTCTTTAATAGGTGTAGGTAAATATGTGAGCATAAAGCTGGGACCGTAAAACGAATAAAATGTATAGATGTGAAAATCTCGAGTTCCAGAATTTTGATTTTTAGGAATCTAAATGGCATGTTGACGAAGTTGGAATCTAAACTTCAACAATCAGGTTTTCTAATTTTGATTGTGAGAAACACCAAATAGGTTGCTCTTTTGTTCAAGTTACTTTTTATCTAAATCTGGACAAATCTGCAGTCATTTTTTGTCATTTTCTGATGCTTTTTGCTCTAACGATTGCACATTTTCGTGTAACTTTCAGCTAGTTTTATATTAAAAATAAGTCAAAAATAGCCTTTTCTTGACATTTTTTGGATCATCTGGAAAATTTGGATAATCTCTGACTATGAAGACCTTGGGGCAATCGGGCAGCTCATCCTAACCTGAACCAAGGACTGATTTTAGCTCATAAGAATTTACCTAATCAAATAGGGACAGAATTCGCCCATAATTGAGGCATACCACTGTTATAATTTTAGCAAGCTATGCCGTATGCCTATATATCAAGCTTTGCTAACTGCCAGTTGTTCCCTAAAAGTTGTAGCATATTTTTATGATTGATCTCTTGAGGATGAACAACGTACCTATTCTACCTTTTGAATCTTCTTTGAAATATTCTACTTTCAAATTATCATTTCTCATGATTTTTCCTTAGTCTTTCTATTTCCTGTTTATTTTTGAAGAATCCTTTAAAAAGCATAGTGTTCTAGATCGTTTCGAAACCAGAATTGGGTGTAATTTTCACAATTTCCTCGAAAGAGGATAAACATATTCTTTGTTTTTCCATAAAACTCAATAGCCATAATGTCGATGCTAGGAGATTTAAAATTACACCATTTTTACCTGTGGAGGTTTTCTGTATTCTTAGACGTTTCGATGCAACAAAATCAATTTCTGCTTTCTTTCTAATAGACTGATTGTCAAAATTACGTACAGTTAATCATCCCCTTTGAAGATAAACTTTTCATTTGTGGGACGAATTCATTAGAGCCAGTTTATAACATCACAAAGGTAAGCTTGTCTTCTTTACTTCTTATTTAATGCCAAAATAAAGTTCTCACGTTTGAAATCATGGAGAAATCTTTTTTAGAAATTTTAATTTCTGACTCTTTTACTTGAAAGAAGTGCAAAATAGAATAGAGAAATTATGCTGCAAATTGACAGAGGTGGGCAAGAGAATGAAGGAATATTGTTGTTTTGGCCTGGTTCATACATTTTAGAATTTGATTTGATAGGGAAAGAGTCTATGCTAATTTTGTCGTAACTCAATCAATTTGTTGCACATCTCGAACGTATTTCATCATGATTTTATAGGCTATCTTGAAGACTCTCTCTAAAGGGCAGATGCTGTTTTGTTTTACAGTTCTTTTAGGGCTGCCAGAGCTCTAAGCGAATTGTGAATGTTTAAATAATTTTGATCCAAATTTCCCGGTGTTATGTTTTTATCGAAAATAAGTTATTTTCAATTAACTTTGTTTCGTTTTCAACGGGTTGTTAAATCAACAGCGGAAACTGCAGAAAAAAGTTTTGTCTTCTTTTAAGTTCAACCTTTAAAAGAAAGTGTAAATGGAATTTAAAGGGTCAGTTCAATTATTGTACAGATATTTAATAAATAAGTTAATCGACATTGTCAAAATAATTTGTAGGGTACAGATATTTGTATTCTACAGATATTTGATAAATAAGTTAATTGTCATTGTCAAAACTTTTTTTGTAGGGTAAACCAACTGTAACAAAATTAGTCAAGGAATTTTTTGCGATTATCAGTTTTTAGCAATTGGGAAACATAGACATCTTTCAGGCTGTTGACGCGAAACTGTTATGATCACGAAAGTCTGTTTAACGCTGATCTCGAGAATGGAGAGTTTTGAATGGCACAACTGTTTGTAACTTAAGCCAGACTTTAAGGAGATATCATTTCTTAGACTGGTGAATAATTCAGACAGAAAAAGTATATTATCCAGTAACTACTCTTGTAAATAATTGTTAAAAGAAGTGAGAAAGGCAAAAAGTTTCAATTGCCAGACATCCCCTCTTCTAATTAAATCTCCTATAAAGAGCTTCACTTTTTCAACTTCCAAATTCAAAATAAGTCAACCCTCTCCTAGGGATGATTTTCCCACGTTCGCTTCATTGCAGAAACATTGAAGATTAACATTTAAGTATTCTTTCCTTGTTTCAAAAGACTTTTGTTTTGGGTTTTATTGTTACTTGGAAGAGAATAAATCAAAATATAACACGAATGACTCCTGATTCTTATCGTTGGCAATGTAATTGTAGCAAATTTAAAGAAAAACCACTGGTGAAGAAACTGGCCTTTTTGGCCCGAAATCTTAAATTATTATTTTAATCCAACTGAATTAGCTGTAAAAGATTTGTCTAATATTTACCAAACAGGCTAGGAAAACGCTCCTTTTGAAACAAATTGATTTCTTAAAACCTGCAAAGGTTTTTTATTTGAAATTGCACGGCTTCTTTTTCCTGGAATTGAATTTTCGTTGCTGACAATAATCCTTTGCTCGCCTCAAACAACTATCTGGTTATCAGAAAATCTTGTCATAAAGGATGACAGATAAGTTGCATTTTAACTATGATACGAAAAAAACAACTATTTAGCAATGAACTGTACTTTTGCTATTTTCTTACTGCTCTATTCTCTACCATCCATTTCTTAATGATTATGTGATCTGTTTTGGTATGTAGCCCTTTTCTATGTAATTTGTTAAAAATTTGTTAGAGGCGAGTAAAGAATTGTTGTTAGTAGTGCCCCCTTTCATTTTTACATAAACGCAAAGTAAAGAGTCTCCAGCTTATTGCTAGTGACGCTGATATTGGGGGTAAATTCTAATGATTATGTGAAACAACTTTTGTAACTTTGCTTAAATCACCTCTTCCTTGCTTAAATCACCTCAAGTTACAGCTACAGTCACTCTACTTTAAATCATTCTAAAAAGTAAAAATTTAATGGGAATTTTAAAATTCAGCGTGAATTTTCTGATGCCTGTAGTAAGAGTTGAAGGTTTCAAGAGCCTTTGCAAGCTAGACTTACAAACTTAACAATTCAAGTTTTTCTTAAACTGGTTCACAGGTCATTTTTTCTTCTATGGTCCCACTTCAGTACGATGCTTAGATCTCTGTAGTCTTTCAGTTTCTGTCGACACGACTATCTTGTCAATGTTACACCAGACTGACCTTATGTGACACTGATTTTGAACTTTTGTATTTGAATTCGAGAGAACTGTTAAAATTCGTGCACAATTCATAAAGAAAAGACAATAATGTTTCGGAAAGGAAGCCATAATTACGATAAAAAAGAACTCACCTAACACCTTTTTTGTTTAGCTGGATGACCCCAGTGTAGTCTTAGAGGGAAACCAAAATGGCAGAAGCAGATGCTCACCGAAAGTTGACTTGGAACCAGTCGGTGCAATATCAAGTAAGTGCCAATTCGTTCAATTTTTCAGCTGTCGAGGAAGCATTTGTACCCAGGGTCGTCACTAGCTGTTGAGTTCAAGGGGGTATCCAGGTCATATTATGCAACAAGGGGGGGGGAGCTTCATTTATTTTCCAACGATTTTGGAAATTCAACGACGAAACTCTCCTAAATGACAAAAACTCGCTTTTAAAGGATGATATATTCAAAGGAAGGCTGCTCGCGCTACGGCCTTTTGGAAAAAATATTTTGGTTTAAAAATTTCTGCAACTGTAGCTCTGCTTTTTAAGACTATCTGTGGCTCAGCCTGAGTTGCGAGCGTCAACTATCCAATTATTGCAGTATTTGTTCTAAATGTTAGGTTCAATGTTTTGCGAAAGCCAAGTCAAAAATCTTTATTTTCACTACCAACCGACCGACTCATCACTTTGAAGAAGTATTTTAAAGCTCTGAATGAGTTCAAATGTGCAGTTCGAAGTAAATTGACCCCAGCTATACTGAAACCTGGACGTCATGGGTTTGTGATATAAACAGTCTAATGTTCTTTGAGTGACACTCAGACTCGGAGATCCTTTGAATGCCTGCCTCCGTAGAATTGTTTTCAATATCAGCCATGAAACTATAAAGAATGAGTGTTAATGGACTGAATCATCATCTTGAAGGGAATGGAGAGCTTATGGCTGCAACATACAAGGACCGTAATGCCAGGCAAGCAGTCATAAGTGGATCCTATTTACTTCAAGAGTCGAGGTGGGAAATGTTATCGACCAGAATGGATATGAATGGTAAGGTTACTTGTTAGTACATATTTTTCCATATGTCTTTAGCAAAGGTGATGCTTGTTGATTTCTTTCTAATGGAATTTAACTTAAGTAAACAGATTATTCTTCCCTAACATTAGCCTGCGCCCCAGTCCACAAATGCTGCCACATTTACGTGGACTTGGGCACAGGCTACCCTAACATACGCCTTACATTTGATTACATATGATTGCATGTGATTACATAAGATTGCATATGATTACATATTCTGCCCTTACATATGATTACTCTTTCATTTGAACAGTCGATTCTATGGAAATGAGACTTTTGAAAAGAGGCTTGATCTCTTGTAAGGGAACGAATTTTCCAACCTTCTCCTTCGCCACCTCCTTTTGCTGGGGTTGCAGGTGACTGGAGGCCCCACTAACATAGGATTTCTATCTAAAAATATTAATTGGAAATACTGCATTTGTTTTTCGTATATTGTCACACGAAATTGGTGCACAGCAAGAGAGTTCTATAGTGATGACGTCACAAAAGTCTAATTTTCGAATTTTCGAATTATATAACCATATATATACCTGAAAGATCATATAACCTGAAAGAACATCATAAAATAGCTCTAAATATGCAATATCAGTCAATTTGTTCACGAATTGGCAGATATATGATCATATGCGTATTGGCTTTTTCCCCATCAAACCTCTTTATTTTAGTCCCTCTTTGTTCATTACTTTATGAACAGAGCCAAAATAACAATGATTTGTTAGCAAGCTTCAAATCTTTCATTGGCTATATCTCAACCAATTTTAGACATATTTGGCCAATTTTGCATATTTGAAAGTATTTCATGGTAATCTTTTACGTTATGTGGTGAAAATTCAAAAATTCTGAAAATAGTTTTTTGATGACGTCACACTTTAGAACTCTATACGAGCATTCAGCATTCTGCTCTGCATCAAGCAGTTTTTTATGTCAGTGATTGTTATGCGATGCAAATTCTCACTGCAAGACCATTCTTAGTAACTGGATTACCATGGACAATGATCCATTGCTCCAAGCTTGCTCTTTCTCTAATAAAACGTCTAATGAGATTAATTTTCAACCTTTTCATTTTATTCTGCCCACCAATCCTTTCTCATAACTTTCTTGGTGTCGCTTACAAATAGCAAAAGGAATGGCCTTAATCGATTAATTTTGAAATGCAATGGATTTGCACCAAATCACCACACACGTATTTTACAGTCATCGTTGTATCATGTCGTTAAGGGACGGCTTAAGTGATCAAAAGCATAACGTTACAAGCTGTAAATGAGGAGCATTGCAATAGATAGATCATACCACTGCCAGGTTTTGGCATGCTACTTCAAAGAAAAGTCTTCCTTCTACTCTTATCTTTAGAATAGTTCCTTGCTATTTTATGGTCCCTTTGTCTATGATGTTCTTCAGACAGTCTCAGGTTTGCTATCAAATCGATGGAATTTTCGAGAATGTCATATCTCTTTTTTATTTCGGATAATAAAATTAGCAAAACTCTCTATTGAGATAATGAAATTATACCCAGAAGACAAATGCCAGACTTGGCTGATTTTATCACATTTCCTTGCCAACGAAACGAGGAGCATCTATAAATAACTAGAAATTCTTAAATGGGAATTATCGTACATATGATTTGGTAGCTGATTCAAATGGTTAAAGACTCATTGCTAACATTGAGCCATTGCGCTACGTAAGCATCCCATAATGCATTTTTAGACTGTCTAAAATCAATTTTGATTAATCCGTGGAAAATTTTTGTTATTGTTTGGACCGTCGCCACGCTCGCAAAGGCCCGTTGTTAGCAATGAGTCTTTAGCTGCGCTTAAAGTGCTTTAATATGACTTAAAGTTGAAGAATAATGTGAAACAGTGTTAAACATTCTATGAAAGTAAAGTATGATGGTAGGCCTATATTCGAGCTTTTGTGGTGGTATTGACAAACCGTTTATTAACCTCTTTAACAAAGTTATACACAAATTAGATTAGTTTCAATATATTTTTATTTGCAGACCCACAGTTTACTGCAAGCATTGCAGTAGACCCCAATGTATTCATATTCTTCAATGAGATTTCAAGTGAACGGAGTAATGTAGGTATTATTAAAGGTTTAGTTATGAATTCTTAACAAATCTTTGTCTTTTAACGTATGTTTAAGTTGTGAGATGGCAGAGATGTCACTTTGAATAGGTGGGCTTGGGTAAATGTAATGCATGTGTACATTAGTGTATATATAAACATCGATATATTCTTTCTGGATTGTTCAGAGTTTCTTTCCGAATTAAATTCGATGCAATAAAAAACAGAGATGATGCAGTAGAAATATTTTCAAATAAAGCGGCGGTCCAATTTTATCATAGTCCTGGCTCGTGGTATCAGAGATTGTATTCAGTTTCCAGCCAAAATCTTTAATGTTTTATACAAGATTTTAGTATTATCTGAACTCTTTATAATGAAATACGCCTTTTCTTCATAGAAACGACATGCAACAGTTGCTAGAATCTGTCAGGTAATCTATAATTTGGTTATTTTGTTATTTACTTTCATAGTGGTTGTAAAGCAAATGCTTTCTTAAAAGAAGTAAAATATGCTGGCTGTTTGATGCGCATGTACATTAAGTAGAATCTGCTTCAAATGTAGAATCTTGAATCTCTGTGAGCAGGATAGCAAAGGAAACTGTTATACACTTTTATAAGAATATAAGAATACTAATTCTCAAAATCGCTGAAATTTTAGAATGATTTAAGAATAATTCAAAACTCAAGCTTCATCAAGAGTTAAATTTTTGTTTATTTGAGTTTTTTGGAAAGCAAAATAAATGCGAGTTTCACACTGTATGTCTTGAAATAGACGTATTCTGTCTTGGAGTCATTAGAAATATGATGCAACCCGGTTACACCTTGTTTCGCTTAAGAATGATTTTAGAATTATATAAGTCTAACAAATTTAAGAATATTGAGATTCAGCAAAAAATTAGGTATTCTTTTTAAAAAAATTGTGCATTTGCTATTTGAAGTCGAAATGACTGGCTTCCAAAACTTTTCAAGAACAAAATAATTTTCAGCATTAATATAAATAAGGATTTGATACAATTATTTCGCATTTGACAATAGTCGTAAGAGCTACACTTAGCGATTTTACTTAGGGCCTCTCTGAAAATCTTACAAGTCATTACAATTTCAGCGCAATACCTTTTTCTTTTTCAGAATGATAATGGCGGATCACAGTATATTCTTGAGAATCAATGGACAACATTTCGAAAGACACGCTTGGATTGCAAAGTACCAGGATACGAAGATATGCAATTTGACATCGTTGGTGAGTCTCTCGAATAAAGCATAATAGAAGTCCTGAAAAAAATAAAAAATCTATGTTTATCTAAATTTACAGGGAGGAAATAGTCATTCAAAACCCATTTCAAAATGGTTCATGATCTTTTAGAAAACTGGTAGGATATCACTTTACACCATTCTCCTGCGTGTCTTAGCAACAAAATCTCAGCATTCAAAGCATACATTATAGTGGAAAGGAAAACAATTTTAATAATAAGATGATGAATACTTGTCTTGGCTTCTTTTTTCTGATCATGCACATGAGCTTTTTGACGTCATATACGATCTGAATTTAATGATAAAATTTAATGATGTTTTATTCTATTGTAATGCTATCTTTCAAAGACATATATTGACAATAATATAATAACATAGAATAATTTCATAAATGATATACAATAAGAACATCAAAGGCTTGGCTGATAGTGGAGATAAACACTGAAAATAGTGGAATTATAGACAGATAAAACGAAAATTAGCATTGAGCACAGTTTCTTTAAGATTCTACATTAACGTCCAAGTTGAGGTCATGACGTCAGACTAAGTAACAGACAAGCTCAACCATTTTGCAATTTATAACGCATTTAATCATTTAATCTTAGAGGTATGCTAGCAGGCCATCCCATCATATTTTCTATTGCTTTTTTCACTCCCAAAGCAATCATTATTTTCGTAACTTAATATTTCTTTATCATATGGCAGATAAAGTCGTTTATTCTGAGCAATCAGGGACGTTTTATGCAGCATTCAGAACGTCTAGGTGAGAACGCAATATTATTTTTGCTAACTTTTCAAATAACAAATTTCGTAACATTTGTTGAGTCGCTACCGTAACACTAAATAGATTTGCTCAGAAAAGGAGCGAAACTACTAATGGAAGTTGTTCCAGAGAACTGTAATTTTCTCAGTTTTTCATTCAAATAAAATTTGCAGCATTTGCAGGATATGTATTGTGCATTTTTTGAATTTGCTTTTGTTTAAGATCGATGTGACAAACGTTTTGTTTAGGAAGGTTTTGATGCATGGAGGTCGTGAGGAGTAACTTCTTAATAGCTTCCAAATGCAAAGTCACGTGTTGATTTGGTTAAGTAGGTGCCCTAGTTGATTTGTGAATTTCAATGCATAGCATTTGCGAGCTGCTTTTTGTAGGTTGTTCGGTAAGGGAGTTTCAAAAAGAAACCAAACAGATTCGCGTATTTGCGAGATGCACAACTTTTTCATATTTCAAGCAGAATATTTGTTTTCTCCTTTTGATTCCTTTCTCTGTAGATTCAGTGTGGTCTTATAAATCTTGCGGGCATCAAAACTTTCTATACGTTTAATTGAATGAAATGGGCCTCTATCACTATGGTCAGAGGCAAAGAAAGAGTTTTATCAAATTTGCTTAAGATTAGCATCGGTTTCTAAAACATTGTCAATTTATTTTGTTCAATCGCAGTGTATGAATCTTTGAATGCAAACCATGTTCGTCCACATACGATTTGTTCACAATGATGTTTATTCTTAGTGTTGCTAACCAGTTTGGTCCATCTACAGGTAATCATAGATAATACTTTATATCATTAAAACCAAAAAATCGTAAAAAATTTTCAGATTTTGATAAAACTGTATTTTTTCTCTAGTCTCAGTTTCAAGGGATCTGCAATTTGCACCTTCAAATTGGCGGATTTCAAGAAAGTCTTTAATGGAGATTTCCTATATAAAGGTGCCGACTCAGTCACAAAAAGAGTACCTAATCCGCATCATTTCACCGAGGTTTGTAGTTCTGTTTGACTTATTCTAAGTATGTTTTGTCAGGTTTTGTAAGTATGATATTGCTGGTAGCCTGTAGCAATATGTTTTTAACTTCTCCCTCATTCGGTTCTGTTTGTTCTATTTTAGTTGCTTTTCTGTTTGTCATTTTTATGTTGACGATATCTTAACCAGGCACTCAGGATGTATGAAGCAATTATAGGCTGAACATGCAGTCTCCTTTTATTGAGTTTAACAGTATACCATATTGATTTTTAATTTTACTTTAATTCTCAAATTTAATCCGCAAATTATAATCTTTTGTAGTGCAAAATCAACCCAAAGAGTCTTCGCCGATATTCGATGAAAGATTACAACGAAACTGTTCGTCCTGGAAAGGAGCCCACGAATTTTATGACCTCTTCGGCATTGACTGATTCCTACCGCTACAAGATCATGTATGACCCAATGATAGCAGTGTCAGATTTGATATTTCATAGACAAATGGAAAGGTTTGGCTACACAATTATACGTATCTGTACCTTTGTTGTGTGTTTATTAATGCTTGCTGCTTTGTATTTAGAAGTATTTCATCGATACAGGAGTCTCCATTCACCTTCAGTAAGCCATTCTCAAAATCGCCTATTTAACGCGAAACCTTTCCTACAACCTGTGCGGTATCTCGATCTGGTATTAACAAAACCGGTTCGACTAATGTTTTAAGGTTATATTCGATTTTACCTCAGATTGCAATCGATTTTGCAAGTCCAATTATCAGTTTCACAAATTTGTTCTTCACGATCTTTGTTCCTAAAAGGTAATATACTTTGAAATCATGAAAGTATTGACAAATCCTTCAGGCTTTTCAACAAAAACTTTTTCATTTCAGATTTACAGCTATTGCTGTTGATAATGTCAAGAAAGATAACAATGCAAACAGTGTATTGGCATATATTGGCACAGGTATTTTGCTATTTCTTAGATCACTGCAGTACTGTGGCTGTAATCAAGGTTATGAAGCCAAGTGCTCTGTTGTTTTCTATGTGCTTCGACAATTTACAATCGAATCTCGTGCTGTTTGAACATTAGGCCGCAAAAATCAGTTTCATATTTAAGAAAAATTTCCTGCGAATCAAAGAGAAACTAACTGCATATTCATCGGACATTTTCTAATCTTATCCTTTCACAATTTTGAAAAATTGCCAGCCAAGTAATTTTGTAACACGTAATCTGATGGTCATTATCCAACGTTTCATTCTGTGTAAAGAATTGGCTCATAATATACATAATATAGACCTGAAAGGTCTTCATCAAAGAAATAAAGCGAAGAATGCTCATATATTTATCAATTCTCAGATCGTGGCACAGTACTTGTTCTTCACATCTTGGCGTCAAAGAAGCTTACTTGTCTGCTGAATGAGTTGGTACTTTTTCAAGTAAGTCTCTACAACTGCAAATGTAAACAAACTTTTTAATGAAGCAACAGTCAAACACACTATCATGGGATAATGGGATAAGAAAGCATTCTAAACACACTTTAAATGGATACGATGTTATTGTAATATTTGTGAGAAGGAAGAACCGCAGGATAGTCTGTCCGCCGGATTCTGTGAATCTTGCAATGAGATTTAAAATGAAAGGTATACAGGAACAAAGCAATACGACGACGAGAATCCAATGTCACGAAAATCTTATTCAAAACATCCAAGACTGCATAGCTCTGTTTTTGGCATCGGGCAAACACTCGATACAGTAATCTTCATATTATATCATGTTGATACATAATTATAGGAACATATGGAATTTGTTTAACAATGTTCCGTTATGTTAAAGATATCCTAAGAGGGCCCACTGTATAAGCTTTTTGTTTCGTTTGCAGAAAGGCAAAGAGGAAATCATTCGAAAGCTGGTGCTTTGGAAAGACAAGGTGATTTGGAATATATATTTTGTTCTATTGAACACAAAAACAAATGAGCTTGAGAAAGTTGTTTAACTATGATTAGGTTTAATTTTGCCTGCATTATCTTTCTATAATATTTAGTTCATTGATACTAATGACATAATAGTTTTCTTCAACCATAATGAATCTATTAAGATTCAACCCGGGCTCCTAGTTAAACGAACTGGCGTTTGCACTACACGGAATCAAAAAGGCAGTGTTAACGAGAAAGTGAGATATGCTTCGGTTGCATGCCGTGGCAATGTCCTTGTAGTGTCTTTAAGCTGTTAAATGTAGTTTATACTAATGAGATTTCCAATTTTATAGAAGAAACCAGGATTACTTAACTATAAAGCACATGCGTACAATTGAGAAAAGAAAGAATTAAACGTTTATTAGCATATGTCACAGAAAGCGAACCAAGATTCAACCCTGTTTCTAGTCTACACTTCATTTTGAAAACTCTTTCATAGATTTTACTCGCCTGTCGATGTGAGTTATTTTAACCCGGGCTCAGCCTAGGCTGCGTATGCATTGCAAAAAAGTTAGCCTGTCCTTGCTCAACCCGGGTTGAATTTGCATTAATTAGTGCAATTTAAACATGGCTTATCTGAATAAACTAATTCACTGAAATACAACCGGTGGCTAATTTGACATAACCACGTTTTGAGATAATTTTTTTAATTTTTCTCTGTTTTTCTTTAGCAACGTCTTTATGCAAGTACAGACACCCGTATACTGCAGCTTAAACTTGAAAACTGCTCTCTTTACCCCGATCAAAGGTAAAAATCTAATCTTGTCAAGGGCACAGATAACACGAGACCATTATTTAGAGAAGATGTCGTCTAGAATCATTTTTATCCATTTCAGTTTAAAATATTTGATTTGTGAAATCGATTTGAAAGGCAATGTAAATTTTAAAGCAAGCTAGATTGTCTAAATTTCAAGTTTAACTATCAATCTTTCTATCCCACTTATTATTCTTATACTAATCAAAATCAAATTTATATTCAATTTTCTATTTCACCCCATTTTAATAGATATTTAGACGATGTTGAATTATTCGAGCTGGGTACAGCACAGCTAACCAAATGGATATACTTTGTTTTTCAATGGATTTTTGTATTATTGGTTGTTATGTTCAGGCTACATTTAAAAATGTAATAGTCGGATTCGAAGTATCATACAAATACTGCAGGATAACACCATGAGCGTTGTTTGCTGTTGCCTTTTATTCTAATAATCTGTTTAAAGATATTTAACACTGTTTTCCAGCTCTTGTGTTGAAGCTCGTCATCCATATTGTGGTTGGAGTAAAACAACTGGAAAATGCATATCAACTAGGAATGTGTAAGTTGATCAATGATTTGGATACATTAACGTGGGTAGTTGATCTTTTTTTTCTACTGGTAGTTTGAATAAAGTTTGTCATTAGATTTTAATATAAACGCAGGTTAAGGATTTTAATAGAAATGTTAGTTGTGTGTTAAATACTCTTCATTTTTGGTCTTTCAGAACATCAGTTGCGGATATTATTCAAGATTTTTCGAAGTGTCCGGAGAAAAAAGGTTCGCAGTTACATTTTTTAGATTTATTTTGATGATCCTCATTTGGCTAATTCTTGAACGATATCCCTAGTTAAACATTTTATTTTTATACGATTCAAACGTAATTATAAAAAAGATATTGTTTACTCTTTGATTGTAACCATGCAGCCTCGAAAGTATAAAAACTTCGGACATACTCTGGACAGTGTCAGACGAAAATACTTCAGTATGTTATGTGGCTGCTTTTTCGTGCCATCTTTAATTTCGCGGTACTAATAACCCATTTGGACATTTCTCTTGGTGAATTTTACTTTGTTTGAGCCTTTTCCAAAAACATTTCAAGACCCATTTATCCCCTTTGCAAATGGCATGTAAAAAAGTGTTTAAAAAACATTTAAATTTATCATAGGTTATTGGTCGGCGTGGTCTCAATGGCATACGTGCCTCGACTCTGGCAATGGCAGAAACTGCCGATGCAGGAAAAGGCAATGTAGGACATGCAAGGAAGGCGACTGCCAAGGAAGTGCAATAGACATTGAAAATTGCTCAGGTAGTTATCAAACCTTTCCCATCTATCAAAAACTCTTTTCTAAAAAGATGGTTATTTTTAAATAGATCATTTATTGTTGTCTAGGTATAAACCAGGTTTCTTAAGGGTGAAAGTGCGTGGAGAAGTGGAATGCATTCACATTTAAAACATACACTTCAGATACTTAAGAAGTATGCAGTTTAACTGATTGAAAATAGGAAAATGGTTTAAAAGTACTATTCTAGTTAATAGAGCAAAATATGAAGAGCATCAAAGGGATCCTTTTTATGCCAGGCGCAATGCTTATGATCAATTAATTTAAATGTTGCTTTTGTTGTATTAGCACAAATTTTGAGATTAATTCAGTCTTGATTATTAGTTTCCCACTATCCTGGCTGCGAGTGCCATTTCAACTACTTCCGAAACCAAGATTTCTTAAGCTGCAATATTAGAGTTTTTATGTTAATGATTTTGTTTTTAGCGGTGAAAATAAAAAACGAGACATCTTGGATCACGACCGGCCCAACTGACGGGGGCTGGTCCCAATGGACCACATGGTCGGTCTGCGATCATGACTCTTGCGGCTCAGGATTCCAGACTAGAGGCCGCTCCTGTAACAACCCGTATCCTCAAAATGGGGGTCTGCCTTGCATTGGGGATTCTCGAGAATGTCGCAAGTGCCAAGTTAAATCAAAAGCATCATCGTGTATACGTAAGTGTGCTTGTCTAACTGATAGAGTGTCAGACGGAAAAGATATGCGACGAAAAAGACTTTGTTTGTATGAGATATGAGATGGAAGATTTTGTTTGCATTTATCAAAGCCATTTTTAGTTTTGTTTAACATGCCTATTTCTGCACCTTTAAAACTTTAAAACCATTGAAACTTTAAGACGAATGAACTTTGTTTCTTTTAAACCAAGTATATAATACATACATTGAACGTAGGCCACTTTTGCATCTCGCAGCTGCTTTGTTATTCATTCTGATCTTACTCTTTTTATGACCATGTTTTATGCCACCCAAACTTTACTTTAAACCTACTTTTCTCACAACAAGCATTAATCTACAAATTTCCCTTGTATAATTCCAGACAAAACCGTCGTTGGTGCATGGAGCAGTTGCATTTGCTTTGTTGAAGATGGTAGAGATGTCTCGTTTGGTGTTCAGTTTCGTGTTAAGACCTGCTTCAGTAGTTGCAAAAATAAAAAAGGTTGTCCTTCAGATCGGATTCAAAACCGAACATGTACCTGTCACAACATAGCGAAACCAACTACAAAGCCAAGTAAGCACATTCTTTACCTGCATTTGGTTACCTTATATCCTCCTCAGAGGTGCCGTCCTATGTTTGGAAACTTTTAGAAGCCGAATCCAAAGACCACACCCATTGTCATACTCTCACCCTTTATGCTTGCATCTATGTCAAAGATTCTTTCATAAAGGGTTTAGTCATATTGCCTAGAATAGAATTCACCCAACCTAACATTTACCCCCTTCCCTCCCAAAAAAACTCTCTTCATTTTATGAAGGGACAGTGCCCCCAACCCCCCCCCCCCTCCACGGCACAACTGATCCTCTTTAATTCAAATCTAAGCAGTATCATATAAAGTGGTTTAAGCACACATCCAAATGGCATATTTTTTCACAACTCTCACTAAAACTCTTTGATTCAATTATCCTGTCCTTCGAAAAACGGAACAAATGTATTCACAAGCAAAGAACCTTCTATTATTCGTTCTTATCTTTGTATCGAATTGGAAAATAAAACCTTAGAAAAATGTGTTGCATCTGAAATTCACATTTCTGTATAGACGGCTCTATTAATTGTATTTTTATTAATGTGTGGTTTAGGCTCTGCTACTCGAATATTGGGCTCTTTACTGGATTATTCCCTTCCCAGTGTGATTGGCCTGTGTTCCAGATACCTTACTACTGTCAAGTAAGGAATCCAGGGTACAAGTTAAGTTTATAACATAGCACCAAAACTAGTTAATCTTTCATAAGCAACCTAAAATATTTAAGTGTAGACATCTTCTTGTTATGAAAACTGATTTCCTAGGAAATTACAAAGGCCCAATCATTATATTGCAATCGGTGTAATTGTCTCAAAGCTGCATGTTGTCCTTCGTGGTTCTGATCACCTTCTGCCTTGCTTTTCAGGTCCCATAAACACAGCTGGAGCCCAAGCCGGTGGAACAAGTAGCAACACAGTGAAAAGAGGATTCACAGTATCTGATTTGATAGTAGCTGTTGTTGTTTCTAGCATTCTGTGTATTGTTTTATGTGTTGTTATTGTGATTTGGATGATGAAGAAGAGACATCGAAGGAAGTCAAGGAGGCAGCGGGAGTCCTTCAATGGTCAGGACTTTACATTACATCCTGTAAGACATAATGGTGACATTCCAATTTCTAATATTGAAGATGAAAAGAGACCACTTAGTAGTAGTAGTGAAAGTTCGTTTGAAAACGGCAAACACATTCCAGCTGAAAGTTTAGAAAGTCCGGTTGCAACTTTGACAATGCAAAAAACGAGAAGACATCCGAAGTCGGGCAAGTTAAAAATGTTTGGAGAGGACAAGGACTACGACAACGGAATAGCGTCTTTTTGATCGCGATTGTCTCCTAGAAATTGTACAAGGAGCGTTATCATCTTCCTTGTGTATCACGTGAGCGTCATTTTAGTGGTCCAGCGCAGAGCGGCTCTGCTCGGAGTTGGTTAACAAATTTCGGCTGAAATTGGTCAAGTCAATTTTGCGGAAGAATACAACACAGTGATTGCGTGTTTTTGATTGCGATCGCCTGTTACAATTTCCACAAGGGTATCCACGTGTTTTGTGTTTATCATATGAGTGAAACATAAAAGTCACGACGTAAAGCGGGCTGGCTGGAAATTGCTTCAAAATTTGTCCATTTAGCCAAGCTAGTTAATGCTTTGCAAATGACTTCAATTGCGCTATGTTTGCAGCTCTGCTCACTGTAAAGGCACTGTCTCATGTCATGCATTTCTTGTGAAGAAGAGCATGCAATGATGTTTACAGGTCATATGATGTTGCAGAATACCAAAGCAAGGGTGCATCCGTAGTAAGCAATACCTTTACCATTGATTCCAAACTCGTGTATTACATCTACAATGTAACTAGAGATGCTGAGGCAACAGAAGAGCTGCTTAAAATTCCCAATTCCTTTTAATCGAAAGGTAAACATGTTCTACTTTTCAAAGAGCAAAGCCAATATTTACTTAGTTATCAAACTAGAATGTTAGCGCTAGGTTTTCACACTGCTTGGAAGCAAATTAAATGTTTATAACAGACGGAACTAATTTTATAGTTAGAGGATTGAGTTAAAGGATTTTATATTGTACTTACAGAATTTTTCGACTATGTATTTATTAATGACAGTAGATATTTTTACTAGAGTAGCTTAGGAAATACAATAAGCTTGGGAGCTTAGGAAGTACTTGGACAGTGGCGATTTGGTTTCAATAGAACTTTGAGTTTTAGCTTTTGCCAGATCACTGTTTTCCTTGGAGCCAAGAAACTTAGATCAAAATTGCCTAAATTTGTCTTTATTTTATTGAAACTCGCACATTTTTCCACAATAAACAAGACACAATACTTGCCAAGTATAGTTGGAAGACCACAATATTCACGTTCAAAAGTTGACAACCCAGGATTTAATTGCATCTTCATGTCGTCAACTCTGTTGCTGCATTCCCCCCTCTTATCCCTCGTACCAGGCTGCCCCTTTCGATCCGATCCTAAATTGTTACTAAGAATAACGCAATATTGATTGTAAGCAACATTTTGATGGGGGAGGGGGGAAGGGAAGACTTTTAAACACTTTGAAGATTTGTGTAGGTGTTCCAAAAATTTTGGCAAGGATTCTAAGTATCATATCAATATTGCGACTTAGAATACGCACACTGTCGAACGCACCTCCCCCCCCCCCGTACTACATCCCTATAAAGTTAAATGCATCGTTTCTGTGATTATTACTCAAGGACCAGAACGTTGACTTCCAAAACAGATGACAAATGAGAATGATGTGGCGATGGACAATATGAGGTTCTTTATAAAAGTCCCTTCTAGAAAGTCCGTTCTCTGATAAAGGCTTTTTCCTGCTGGTCAGATTTTACTGCGAAAAAGCCTTTATTCTTTTTACAGTCCAAAAAAATTATTCGCCACTTTGTGAACAAATGAAACATCTTAGGAAGAGAGCAACCTGTGGCATTTAAGTATTGAGAAACATTAGCATACTTGATTTACCTAATTTAAGAGGCTTCTTGATCTGATACAAATCAACGGTTGATTGTAAAAATCAACAAAGACATTATCCAGGTAGAAAGCGCATCGATTTTCCCAACTAAGTATGGTGCCGTGATCTTTCTCAGGTTTAGAAATTACACAGCCAAAGCGATGTTAACTTTTTAAGGTGTTAAATAGAAAATGATTTACAAAAATAGAATCAATAGTTTTTACAAAGAAAAATAAGTAGATATGCGAACGATGGATCCAGGTATTCTTGGAAAACTCCATAGTTGAACATCTCGTTGCTTTAGGAATTATTTTCAGATTTCATAGTAACCAAAACAATGTCTCGATTAATTATCAAGGCATCTTTTAAAATATGTATAACTCCTTCTATAGAAGGATTTGTCAAATTTAACTTATTTCCAGTTAACATTGAATTTCGAGAAATATTGTACGTAAACCTATATCTTATCATGCGTAACCGATGTTATATATAAACTGTAAATAACTTAAAAAATAATAAGTAATTATAGTTCAAGAGTTTATAATTTGTTTGTTCTGTTGGTTAATCGTGTTGCAGTGATTTCTTGCAATCAATATTGGACAATTTTTATGCTGTGTTTGTTTGTCACAATGAAGGAGCAGTTTATTTTTTCGAAATGTCATGAAGATGAATAGAAGGAGGATAGAAGAGTAGAATCGAAAGATAAACTATATGGTTTTAAGGTGCCACCTACTTTGACTTTCGGTCATTTCTTTACAAGCCAAGCCATCTCCCTCTTACAACGCATAAATATCCCTCGAAAATCCTTACAAAACCCATGCTACCACTACCACGTCGCTACCGCTACCCCAAATCCAAAACAGGTATATTTGTAAATATATTATAAAAACATTTTTCATGATGTGGTACTGAACCAACATTGTTTGAAGAGAAGAGGGAAACTGAGTACGAAATTTGCACAAGTGTTGCAAAGGTTCTGCGATTGTATGCACCTTCTGATATGAATTCGTCGATCCTGAAATTTTAGAGACAGTCTTTACAAGGACAGGTTATTTAGGTTTGATAAAGGTTAAAGGCAGTTTGCCCATCTAAATGGTAGATGCATGTATGATTTTTTTAATTTGTTAAAGCTATTGGGGGTATTGAATACATTTAAGTTGGAGCCGTTCTGTGACTCCATGGCTCAGGCCAAGTTGCCTGTACGTTGATTGGTTTCGATCGACACAACTTTTCTTCGAAACGTGCTTCTTGTATGGAGACACTTCATTCAATGTATCCCAGCACGTGTGTTTCTTTGTTGCAATGAAAGTGTGCTCTGAGAGAACCTTTTTAAAATAAACCTCAAGGAATGTGTATGAAGGATAAAGAAGCATTCACATATTTTACTCCAGGGATACTGCCCGGCCCCTAAGAGCAAAACTTCACGTGTTACTTCTGATTGCTATTAAATTCATATCCCTTGGTACAAAGTTTAGTTGTCTTGTCCGCGCTGATTTCTTGCCATATTTTATTGACTGTCTGTTTCCTATCAATGCTGTTGATAGTTAAGTAGCGGTACATTTAGTCGAAAATGTATATATAGCAATGCGGTTGATTTGCAAGAACGCCTGGCAAAGTTCGCTTGTTAAGCAAGGTATTTAGCTAGCTTGATTTTATTTGCTTTGTCATGTATCTGTACGATATTAATTTTGAAATTTTCTCAAAGGAAAGTTAAACTATTTGCTTTAGACCCCGTTTACACTGTCCCGGGACAATTTTGTACCGTTACGGTTCGCAAGTGTTTACACTGTCGCGGTTCCAAATTGTTTCGTTTAGCCGTTCCGTTTACACTGTACCGGTACAGTGTAATGGCTTCAAAATTTAATGGCAGAACATTGTTTAGAAGAAGCTGTTTTTAGACAACCAAGGCTTTTATTTTGCCGCCGAAGTCAACAATCGAATTTTTATTGAGAGTTAAAATGGAGTGGAAGGCCGATAAAAACTTTATTTGGACGAACGACAAGGTGGCTTTAATTTTCAGTGTTATTTTAGACTACAAAACTGCAAAGTCTAATCAAGGCTTGGACTGGGAAACACTACAAGCCTTTTCTGTGGTCGTCTTTTCTTCAGAATTTCCTTTTCTTCCGAATTTGACAACGTAGTTACGCCACAATCAAAGCCTCGATTACCTGAAACAGCCATACAAAAGACCTCTTTGTGAATCCGTGACAAAATCGTCTCGGATAGGTGTTTACACTGTCCCGTTCAAAAACTGAACCGTGACGGTACAAAATTCGTTCGCTTTCAAAGCAGGGTCCAAACTGTTCCGGATAGCAGAGCAAAATCGTCACAGTTCCACAGTGCTAGTGTAAACGGAAGGGCGAACCGCGACAGTTTTGTCACGGTTCCAAACTTGCACGGGACAGTGTAAACGGGGTCTTAGTTTAGTTAAAACGCGAGGCATGTTTCATAATTATTCGAAGCCAATGAACGGAGCGGAGAGAAAAGAGTCTTATATTTTGCATGGTTCTTACTGACACATAAAACGACACACATAATGACGAAATAAAACATTAACTTTCTCTTTTCCTGTGAAGCAAGTATCCATGAGAAAGGTTGGTGCGTTATGAAAAAGAAACAAACTCTGGTGCTTTACTTCAGCCCCTAAGGGTGGGTCCCTATAGTCGATCAAACGAAGCTATAAAATGACACAATATGAAAGCATCAATTTAATTTATTGTCGATGAACATAAAATGAACACAACAAGGAAGAGGAAGGCCGAAGGGCTGCAGCCGCAGGGTATTGCCAATTTTTGCGGCTCCGCAGCTCTCATTTTTGCTGCCGCTATTTTTTGCGGCTCTGGTACCCAGGGTAACATGAATAATACTTTTTTGGAGATTTTAAAATAACGCTGCTAATCCTGCAAGGAAGTAAAAGCTAGTTAGATTGACACCTATATTCTTAGTTCTCTTGGTATAGCCAACAAAGCATTTATGCTAGATTTTCGATTCAGAGAATTACCAATCAACCCTATTATATGAGGAGGGCCATTGTTTTGTAAATCTCAAGAATGAGTCAGAATGCTATACTTATCAACCCCAATCGATGTCTTCCAGCATCCATCTCTTACGCAATAACGATTACGCGAACTCGCAAGCGGAAAGCACACATGCGGAATACCGTGCTACCGTTTTTGTTGCGTTCGGGTCTCCAAAAACAGCCCTCACTTCGCTTGGTTTTTTCTCTTTCTTTTTTTACGTATAAAGATGTGTTACATCTGGAGTTTTTTATAAAAACTTTGCAGAATTGAAGCTGCATTTCTTGAGCCCGTTTTTTAGGTTACATCCTACATTAAAATTGATTTGTTCTAGTTATGTTAAATAGAATGTTTTGCGGCTTGTTAGACAAGATGAAACATTTTCACGACAACAGAGCTCAGGCTCTACCTATTAAAATAATAACTGTTTGGAATGTCTGGTAACGCAAGCAACTTCATTCTGATTGGTTGCCTATTTATAGATGTGAAGTTAGCTAGCTTTACCCGTTTATTCTTTCTATGGGTGTTTCATTAAGTTTCAGGCATCTTGCAGAGGGGGCGATAAATAATCAGCGATGAAGTCTCATTCTGGAGACATGTTATTAGCTGAATTGTTTTTAATTTTCAGGAATAGAAGTTGATATTCATGGAATTGTACAGAGTTAGTAAAATCAGCGCATTTACTTGCTACAGCCACAAACGTCGGTAATCAAATATTTATGTACGACTTATAGAAAGACTGGATTATTAAGTGACGTCATAATAGTGTTTACACATGATTGATGCCGCAAAATTATGCTTTCCTTACGAGTCGTACAAGCCAAAGGTCAGTGTTGAATATTGACCGATTTCTCAAATCAAAGTCTATGATTTCAAAGTTGTTTATTGCAGGTTGTGGTTTCAAAGGATTAGTCGATGAACAGCTTGTCTGCATAAGTTTTTATATGACCGTGTTCGGCGATTAATAATCAATAAATTTGATGCAATATAATTTCTTATCTAATGTCTTCCGTAAAACGCAATCTTATAGCAGTGGCGAACAGTGAGTTTTCATCGAGAGCTGTTCTTATACTTTTTTGGCATTAAGCAGACGCAATGAAGGAAACTTCAGAGTTTTACCAAACATTTAAGACTGGAAACCTGCTAGGAGAGGGAAACTTTTCCTCTGTGCGAGAATGCATTCTAAAAAAAGGAGAAGGAATCAAGTATGCAGTGAAGATGGTGAAGTTGTCAGGAAGCAAAGAAAAGAAAGAGGACATTAAGTCGATGATGCAAGGCGAGGTGAGCGTGATGCAAAAATTGGATTGCAAAAACATTATCAAATGCATCGATGCTTTTTTTGGTACAAATGAGATCTTAGTCGTCCTGGAGTTTACATCGGTGAGATATTCTATAATTTTTCAGTTTAAAATTCTAAGAAAGTAGATTAATCTAAATGCTGCAAAGATAGCCTCTTCATGTTTTACATATTTACCGACGGATTCTTACTGTTATTTTATTTCAACAAATTGTTTGTTTATGATGGCTAGCTTACTGGCCTAAATATATTACCAAACTTGTTGTTATGCCAGGGATCAAGAACAGGTGTTTTATTTATAAATTTTGTATAAGCAAAAACCTTGTGATAAATTTAACAGCCGTGGTGTTATCTAGCTTTGTGATAAAACTTGCTCTGTTTCGATAACAAATTTAATTTCCAGATTCCTTTGAAAACTAAGAACTAAGTTCGATTGGTTTTAAGATCAATATTTTAAATGTAAAGAGCTTTTTTAAGATTTAAGCCTTAAGAACAGTTTTTCAAACAATTAGCATTTATTGATACGAGCCAGTTAGCTGAGAATTAACTTTACTTTCAATCTAGAACAGATATATGTTTGGTAGCTTTTTACCTAACAGGATCAAAAGATTTTCTAAATTTAAGTCAGCTTAAAACGAATTAACAAAATTTGTGCCTATTACTTTAAGATAAATCAGAATTCATAGTTAAAAAATAACTTTCAGTATCACGGAATGACCCTACTGAATCGACGTGGCCTATCAGGCTTTTAAACCTAAATACAAGCTATGACTTTAAATGACGACTTTAAACGATCATAGATGCACGAATTTAGATCCAAGCATGATGTTCTTTCAAACGTAATACAAACTCAGAATATAAACAATCTGAATTTAAATCCCATTAATCAATACTTTTTTATTCCTCTTAAAAATGGATTCAAAAACAAATAAATTTTAAATTATCAAAATATCAGAAGACAAGTAAGAAGTAACGATTGGTGATTGGTATTATTTAGACTGATTACATATATGCCAAGGATCAACTTGAAGAAACTTTATCTTTCTAATTGAACTATTAAATGCATGCAGGCCTGGACAAACGAATTAAACATCTGAAAAACATTATCGGCATATGTTCGTCGAACATTGTTTGGTCATGTTTTTTAACAGGCCACCGACAAAAATCGTAAATTATAGTAGCTAAGTGACTACATCTTGGATCCAACAATATAAGCTTAAAAACATGTCAGATATCATAAAAAAGCTTCTGGAGTTCAATGTTTACGCATGCATTAAAAATCCTTCGCCAATTCAAGTACTGCCTTTTATATAAAGGACTTCCTTGCAAACAATGTGCAGTAAATAGTAGCTCTTTTCTGTTAAAATACTTAATCGTTATAAACGAAATTGCCAACTGTGCTGAGAATCCGTTTAAATGAAAGAAAGAATGCATGCAGCGAAGAGATCTCTAGCTAGATCAGGACCCTTTGCATATGCAATTGAAAATTAAAATCAGTTGCTGTTCCAATGTGCAATACTCAAAACACTTATGATCGGCCTTTCCAATGTAAAGATTGGGCGCAAAAACAACTACATTCAGAGCAGGAGCTCCTTTAGCCCGATCTAAGAAGGTGAAAAGGAGCTGCAATGAACTGGGAATGTAAAATGACAACACACCAAATAGAAACTGCAAATTTTAGAAACGCTTTTTGTTAGGAATTTGCTTTGAAAAGACATACAAGAAATTATAATCGGATATGTGTTTCTTTTTTATGACATACAGTATTCAACTGGACCAGCCAATTGAAAAAGGGAAGAATAAAACTATACTTCTCGTTACATTTGTTTTACGCAGCATACGGTCAACAGGCTACTGTGTTGTCACAAAAATCACATTCTTTGCCAAAAAGCATTAGGCCGATTGGTTTTATCATAGACCTAAAAATATTTTTGGTAAAAGAACAATTTTACAATAAACCTGAAAACACATTCTGTTTTCATGTAAAAAAGTCAAAACACAATGACTAACTTATGCAGAAATTTGAAAATTCGGAGATTGGACTGTTTACAAGAGACAGGTCTGTGACGCTCAAGTATTATGTATATTTCTTATATTAATCTTGCATTCGTGTCACTATAATCTCATTTGCTGTGTCGAAAATCCAAAGTAATAATGGTTTCTACGGGAAGATAAATTTCTATCAAATTAACCAATGTTGCAGTGACAACAGTACTCTTAAGCCGACCTTTCAAGCATTTTTGATAAATCCACTACAGGCTTGGTATGCTGGAATCCTTCCTCGCAAAAATGATTTATAATCCAAGGTATTTTATGGCAATTTTTCATTAGTTTAGAAGCATAATGAGCTTTGCCACTGCATTAAATATTGAAAAGAGGGCTTAGTAATTTATCAAACGGAAGAGAAGCTAGTTATGCGGTTATCAATCTTTGAAGCAATTTTGTACTTACATGTGATCAATAATGTATCGAATTTTGTTCACAGCAACCTTTATGCCTCTAACTGCTCCAGGAATAATTTCATCTGAAATTGTTGCTTAGGTAATGTTATTTGAACTTTCTTAATCATTAAACTAAACCAGCTGCCTGAATGCTTTTTCGGGTAAAACTGCAACGAAATACTTGGTGTTGAAACATTAATCTCGGGTTGTTGTCCAAAACACAATTTTTTCTGATACGTCGAGGAGCGATTAGCTATAACAATATATTTTGTCATCCAATAATTATAGCTTAAGTTTGTCACCTGAGTTAAAAACAGACACGTAGCGGCAAGCTGAGCTCCCCCCCACCCCTAAAATGGAATTTTTTACTACAAATTGCCCTCTCTGACTACAGTTACTTTAACTGATATTTTGGAAAGTTGGCATAATTATGATTTAATAAGATAATTGCTTATTCAAATGGGAACTCTTCGGCTAGATTGACTTGCTAGCTTTCTGTTGGCATAGTCACTTTAAAAGAACTACGCTAGGAGCAGGGATGTAGCGCTAGGGCTGAGCCCCCCTTCTTAACCCCGAAAAAAAGCCAATTTATAATTTTGTTATTGTTTTTTCAACATTTTGTACAAGAGCCTCCTGGTTGTTTGGATAGCACATCATCCCAGGCTAGGAGGCATGTACTGGTACAATCAACAATTTGGAAAGGGAATGCAAAGTTTTATAAATTTTCAGACATTCAAAAAGCAAGCAAAATAACAACATCGGAAGCCTATGAATATTTTGTTTGAAAGTTATGAAGTAGCTCCACCAGTTATAATTATGATATACAGAATCGGACTGGCGTGCGGTTATGTTCAGAAAGGGTTGAATGTCTTTTTCGTCCATGACGTACATTGATGCCAGAGAAGATGACATAGTGCACCATTTTGTCAGATCGTTTTGACTCACTTTTTCTTCGATAAAAAAACCGAACTCGTGAAATCTTGCAGTTTGTTCAAAATTTTGAAGTTAGTATGTTCTATTCTTTACTCAAAGCTGCTATGAAAAACTTGGTTTAATTCTACAACTACGTGATTGGTTAAAAAAGGCTTTATTGCATTAAAAATGGTTAAAAAAGATAATTGTAGACTTCTGAAAGTTGAAGGAGCCTCGCATTCAAATCTGGAAGATATTCTTGTAAGAAAATTTGTTATTTAACACAGCTCGTTCTGTCCTAGTTTCAAAATAACGGTCTCGATTGTTCGTTGAATGTTGTTTTCAATGTTTAGCTCTTTCAGATTTTACTTGATGTTGACGACTATGAGACCCTTTCCTTTCTCGTTCTTTACAGGACGGAGATCTGTACGATTACATAATAAATACACAGGAAGTAGACGAAGACAAGTCACGATTTGTCATGTACGATATTGTCAGCGCAGTGAACTATTTACATTCGAAGAAAATTGTTCATAGAGACATCAAGCCAGAGAACTTTTTAATTTTCCCCACAAATGAAGGGAGTAAAAAAATTGTTAAATTATGCGACTTTGGTTTGGCTGTTGACGCAAGACAGATTCTGACTGAGGTCTGTGGATCGCCTAGTTACGTTGCTCCTGAAGTTTTGAGAATGCAGAATTATGGCCTTCCTGTGGACATCTGGTCTTGTGGCATTGTTCTTTATATCTTGCTATGCCATTTCCCACCATTTTACGGCGAGAGCACAAAAAAGTTGTTTTCAAAAATAATGCGAGGAAATTATGATTTTCCATCTCCTTACTGGGATGATATTTCCGAAAATGCAAAGGATCTCATAACAAGGATGCTCGTTGTCAAGGATGATAGGAGAATAAAATCTGAGGAAGTTGTACGACACCCCTGGTTCAACGAGGTATGTATGTTTTGTGCGTTTAACCGTCTACTCAGGATGGGCCGAGCAAATCATTCTGCCCCTTATAAAAAAAGAAAATACTTGGAGTGTTTGTAAGCATACTTCTCTTTCACTCCTTCTATCTACTGTAACTGTAAGATCTTATTGCTTACAAACACCCTATGAACAAATTTCGGGGAACTTCCAATTTATAAAATCAACGCATAAAATTTATAATTTAAAATAAAAGTTAAACGGATACTTTCTAAAAGTCATTCTATGATTTATGTCACTTATGCCAAACTAACTAAACAACAAAAAGATAATTTCCCAACTTGCAAGAAATTATTCCCAACTCAAAATTTCCTATACTCCTTTCGCTGCCCCCCCCCCCCTTAAAACTATTTCTAGAAAGACATACCTAAGGCCAATGTGGTATTTGATGATACTTCTACTAAAGGCACAATTGACATTTTCATACCAAAGATGTTTGATAGTATAAGATAATAACCTAATTCCTTCTAGGAAAAGGTGTCGATAGAGGATGGAGAGGCAGAAACGGAACGCAAAGCATCATCGATGAGCTTAAGGGGCGTGGCAATTGCAGTCAGATGCATGCAAAGGTTCGCTGAGCCAGTGCGAAAACCTGCCAGGGAACAGGCAATACTTTCAGTATCGTTTGTCAAAAGTTGTGAATTGGAAAAGTAAATTCTTTAGAAATGGATATTATTTTGTTAATGAATGAGGAATTGTATGATACTAAATAATAAGCGAAACAAGTATAAAACTATCCTAACTTCTATAGATAAATAAAATGACAACAAAAGTAAGGATAAAACATTTCAACCAAGGAAAAAAATTAAGTCAGACTATTTCGTTTTTCTTTCCAAAATCTACGAAAAAGCAACTTATGCGTTTCAAAGTTCAACTGCAAATTTTTAATATGAAAGAAAATGATAGACTCTGTATTACAGAAAATATGAATGCAAATTCTACAAACATTAAGATACAAATGATTTAGCTTCCGTTCCAAAGCACATTGGTGAATTCAGCTATTCTTGTACATCGTTAGCAGGCACTGAGAGGATACCTAACGACTTGCTTTCATTTTCCAACGAAACGTTGCAGCTAACGTCATGCGCAGTATCTGAATTATCAAGTAAATCTAGATGAGATATGTCTTTCTTCCCAGACACCATAGTTAGAGGTATAAGACTTCCCGGTGCAGACAAACTGAAATTTGGGGAAGAATCTTCCGAGGAAGGGGTTGCCACGCTGGGTTGACAAATAAATTCTTGCGAAGCATCTCCCATACCGATCACAGCAACGTCATCATTAACTACATCTTCTTCAGACTCTGCAAGGTCTTCTTCTCTGGGTGTCTGTGTGTTTGACGCTGAGTAGCTGTAACATCGTGGTCGGCTTTTGAAAACAGCATCAAATGACGGAGGAAATTCTTGCTCGAATTCATTGGTATTTAAGGAATCTGAATCAAGACAGGAAATAAACTGTGATATTTATTAAGATTGGGTCATGTCAAGAAAGGAATAGAATATCAACAACACCGGGAGTTTATTACCTAGGGTGCATTAAAATTTGGTCACATGGACAGCCTCAGTGTTATTTGTCAAACGAAACTATTCTAAAAACTATAAAAGTTTATCAAATGTACACAGTGAGTTACCCTAAAACATGAAAAGTTATAAAACATTTGAGAGGATCGACTTTCAGGGAGAATGAAACAAATACTATTATAAATACTTACAAATAATATTGTGACATTATTACACAGCTTAAGGTTAACTGAAAACTGGTTCCAAATTGTCACAAGAGAAGGTCCAATTAGCACCAGACCCGAAATTTAGGTGGAATCGATTTCACGTTTTACACCAGGTCTTCAGTAAAGTATTCATACGGATTAATGGGATTGTATGTAATAACAGGTAACAGAAAACCAAGATTTAGTGTGTAGAAATACTTACATTGGATACCTGGAAGCCAGGATGACCAGCTGTTAGAATTACCTTGCTTTGAGCGTATAGTTTCTATAAGAATCATTACAGTCTTTTGTCTTTGTTGAATCAATGGGAGCAATTTCTTATTATCTGGATCACCATTGATAATTGGGACATCGGTTGACCAAAAGTGAATTATCCAATGGGTAAGGTCATCAATATACTCACGGGTCATGTTCGAGTAAATAATTCTAGGTAATCCGAAATGACCAAAAACATGTCTACAAAGCTTCTTGGCAACATATACTGGTTCTCTTGTCTTTAGTGGGAACAAAACATTGTATTTCGTATGATGGTCGAAAAAATGTCCGATGTAAGAAAATGCTCCATCTGCATTTTTGGTCATGTCAATAATATCAATCTAAATATAAAAAAGAGAAGAATGTTAAGCATGTACAGAAGAATCTAAAGAAAAATGTTATGTCATGCCCTATTGAACAATCTTATTGTATAATGTTGATTTATATATAACATATCATATATGATATTATTTTTGCATTTAATGGCAAACAAAACATCATGTTTTCATGTTACACAGCATCATGTCCTAAAATATGATGTGATGCGGTGGTTTTGCAGCAATTAATATCATATCACATTCTAATCAGTTTGTGTTGCTATGGTACATTCTGGGATACTCTGTGTTCAGGGTTTTACAAAGGTTTGGCTGTTGTGGGTGTATACTGTTTAGGTGCAACCAATCCTAAGATGCTATGATAATCCTGGTAATATGAAATTTTCTTGTGTGCTAGTGAGCAGGCCTGAATTCTGACCTATGCAAAGGTTGTCAGGAACAGAGCCACGCCCTTTTGTGTTGGAAACGCCCAGATTTTTCTGAATAAAATCAGTATCACTGATATTCCATAGGTGGTTCCAAAAAGGTATTCTAAGGAAACGACTTGCAAAGAGAAGATAAAATTTACCTGCAATACGAACAAAACAGTTGCCCAACCCTGGTAGGATTCCAAGCCAGGGCCACCCACATTCTGAATGTAGTGGTCATACCACAACGCTACAGAATAGACACATCAAAGTCCACTGACTATTTCATTTCATTGGTTGGAACAAACAATTGCATAGGCTTGCTGTAAACAATTGCATAGGTCAACTCTGATCCCTATTTGTTGGCTGTACCGCTGCACAGGCAAGCTCAATTTTTGATTTGATAAAACAAATCTCACCTATGCTTGTGCCAAAGATTGCAAAGGTGAAGTACACTCTGATTGGCTAACAAGATGTTTGCATAGGTCAAACAAGTGGTGGTTGGCCCTTGAGGGACAAAGTTTCTGGATTCAGAAAATATGGACCAGATAAATGCCTAGAATCGCTACTCGACTATTCTGTGCAGAGGCCAAAAGATGGTCAGCAAAATATGTGTCCTATTTTCTGCATGTTGTTGGTCTCAAAGGTGGCAGATTTAGGACAGATATTGCTAACGAATTTGCCAAAGGAACTATTGATTAAAAACTTTGATAGTTTCCGTTTTATTTTGTTGTTGTGAAAATCTGACCTATGCTCCTGCATAAGTTGCTGTAGTCAGGATCTGCCTCTGTGTAAGTGCATGGCTTAAAATGTTAAGGTGTACAATGGCATGAAATCCATAAAATGTTGATATTAAAATTGTTATGAACAACTTGCTAGACTTTCAAACATAATATATATATATACTTGAGAGGTATATAACTGATTGAAAATGCATATGAGGTTTTTATAAACCATAATGAGACAGAATGTTGTATTTGTTGAAAAGTAACTACATTGTATAAACCTACTTGGCATCTTGTGAGAAATGCATCAGAAAACTCAATTTTTTTCTTCTGCTTTTTGACTTTTTTTCCACTTGTAGTTTTTCCATTTGACTCTCTGTGGTGCTTTGGGGTGTAACAGGCATGATGAACAGCACAAAATTCACAAAGTTCTACATATTTGTAAACAACCTCTCTGGGAATACTACAATAGGTTTCGTTTATCTAAAAGGTAGTAGAAAGTCATGATAATAATTTCAATGATAAAAATTATGGTTTATTAAAACAGAAGCTTGTAATACATTAAGATAGCAAATTCAAGCATTTACATAAATTTTTGCTTTGGCAACTAGGTAACAGTAAAAAAAAGAAACAATTGGGATCAATTTTACAGTACTCTAAAAACTTTACTTCAAATAAAAAAATTCTTATCACAAGAATAAAAGTTGGGGGAAAAAACTTATTAGCCCTCCTGGTTTCTTTTCTCTTTTACTTGGACTTATCTAGTAAATTGTCTTAAAAAACAAGGGGTCTTCTGCTATACACGATTCCAAACTTGCAAGAGCCTTTACCCTAATGACCAGTCCTTAAAATTCTGAAAATTGAGTGCCAATAGGTATCATTTGGCTTTAACTGGTTTCCCATTTAATCAATTGTCACTAATGTTCTTGTGTTACAATCCTAATTTTTTTGATAAGATTATAAGCTGAGATACAGTCCATTGTGGCTTTGTGTCTAGAACAGTTTCCACCAACTTTAAAATGATAATCATTACTCAAAGGACCTTTTTTAAAGGAGTCACCTTTACTCTAGGTTGAAGTGCTAAATCACTATAACCTTCAGCATTAAAATGCAAAATTTGATAATAGAAACCTTATTAAAAGTTCCTTTGTATCCTCTGTGTTTGCTTCCATTCTTGTGAGCATTTTGGATTACATCATACATATCTTCTTTGAATATAACTTGTCTATTTTGACCAAGCATTGCATGATTCTCTCTGCCCTTATTTGCAGTCTTGAGGAAAACATATAAAATTAAGGTTAATCTTAACAATTATTGTAATTAAGGTTACGGTACAAACGTTTTCTAGATGGAAACATCCATTTTTTAATTTTTTCAGGTTCTAGTAGCCGGACATTTTTACGGACACAATGATACCATGTTTGAAACTAACAGAAGTTTTGTAAATGGCGAAAAGCCCTGTAAACGAAGGTTTCCATAATTTTTTTAACAAAGTTTTTACTTGAGGTTTGAAAATATCTTGACCTGTTAAGCCGATTATCTTTGCCTTGCGGTTGTGGTCACATGTCTCAAAATGTCATCATCTTCAAAAGAATCACCAGGATCAATAGATGATAATCCTGGGACATCTTCTAAACAAGTTTCGTCTTTTATGACTCCTTCGAAAGGATAAAAATCAGTATTTTCTTGACCTCTAAGGCACACAAGTAAATCTTTACATGAGCCATGTTTAATCCACAGGGTCTTATTATAATCACATCCATCAAGAGACCCACTCAACATGCTTGTTTTTTTGTTTGTTTGACATCAGTGGCTAAAGAGAGGGGGGCTTAATAGAGAGGGGGCTTAAAGAAAGGGGGCTAAATAGAGCTTTTACGGTATCTATTATTTAAGAAAATCATGTATTGTAAAATCATTGCATGATTTTCACTGAATACTTTTACCTAAAATAATTTAACTCGAAATCAATTAAAGGCAGATGATTTGGAACGCCGAGATGTATTTGGCTGCCGCGGGCCAAAGCCGGGCCCCGGGGGCTTGTTAATTTCTACATTGAGGGCTTAAGCCCCCTTATTGCCCCTTTATCGAATTAAGGTTTTATGTTTCATCTAGATCTACTTACTTTTTTGACTGGAAGACACAGAATGTCTCCAAGTCCAACAGCATTGAGAAGTTTAAAGTTCCTTTTCTTGACACTAGCTCGAAAGACAGCATCAAAATTGCTTCGAAGTACTGGGTCATCTTCTCCTCTCTCCCGCTTCTCCCGAAGATACCTAATTATCATTTCACCCTGGGGTCTCCCTATCATGCAAGATTGTCGCCCCGTCTTTTCTGTAAGTAACCACTTCAGAAAGGCACTTCGACTTTCATCTTCCATCTTGCAATAAAGCAGCCTCTGTGGTCCAATGTACCCACATGCTTACGAGGCTGAGGTGTATCTATGCAACAACAGCTTTCGGGCCTAAACGATCAAAATATTGTGTAAGGTTCAGTGCAATTTTCTGCCAGACAGCTATTAAAGATGAGTGGAAGAGACTTTAAAAGCTTTCTGTCATGCCACCAATATCAGATGGGCCGAGCTGCAGGTAAGAACGGTTTCATGGCTTAAAAATGTGCTGAAAGTGTCAAGATGAAAATGAGAACTTTTTGCTCTTGGCACCACCAGTAATAACAGAATTCAAATTTCAATTGTTTCGACAGCACTGACCCCAAGGATTCATTAGGATAATGAAAAGTTACAAGAATTACAAAAAGCTAGATTTCGCAAGCTAATACTTTTGCATAGGAAGCTGTATAGGACTTGAGCTGTTAAGATTAAAGAACAGTAACAGAACCAACCTAAAGACAAAAAGAAATTACAGAACATTGAAAGAAGAGCAAAACAGGAAAGATATCATTCTTTGTTAAAAAAACTGACTGCGCTGTGTGTTAACAAGGCCGCTCAATGTCTGAATAGAATAATAGATCTAAAAATCAAGAAAAGCTTTATGTGATTGCTGAAATAAGTTGTGGTTGTATCGAAAACCATGAATGTCATAATTTTTTATTGAGTAGCAATTAACTGTTTGAGAATAAGATAAGGTTACAATTAGATCCTGATTTATTGCTTGATATTATTTTCCTCCACAATTTTTGATACTGTTATTGTATTGTTATATTATACCAAATGCATTTGGTAAGAAGCAACTACATGTATGCTTTAGCTTGGCATGCTGGGATCTGATGATATCTAATAACAAGCAGATCAAAATACATGTATAATGGTCTTCTGTTTAAGCTATTTGCAAATTGAAAAAATGACACAGCTAAGAGTGGCTAAAGTTTGTATGCTTTTACTTTTCTAGACCCTAAAATGGTTTCAAGATGTATAGCTGGTTCAAAAGTAGGAACATATAAAGCAGTTGATTATGACAAAATGAATGCATTATTAAGCATCAAGAAAAGTAGTGGAAAGTCTTCTTTGAAAAAGCTTGAGAAAATAACAAAAGCAAAAGAAAATAAAAGAGAGACTGCTTTGCTGCAACAACATAAAAAAGTATGGCAGAAAGAGCATGTGCATTTGAAACATATGTTGGAAAGAATAGAAAATGAAACTGAAATATGTATATCAAAGTTTAGCAATTCTGAGTGGACATTTCTCAATGATTTGTATTTTGAGATAACTTCATTAATAGAAGCATTAAAAGACAACAGAGCTGACTTCCAGGAGTCAACGGTTCAACCTATATTTGATTTAAGAGAAGATTTGCAGTATTGGGTGGAAGAAAACAGAGAAAAGTTGATTTTAGGAATTGCATCAGATGATCATGCCAGAATTTCAGATGTTGCAACTTCAGTTAAAAAGCAGCAACAGGAAATAATTGAAAAACTTGAAAAAGACAAAGATCAGTTAGAGAATGAATTAGAGGTTGTCATGTCAGAGCTTGGCATTGAGCAAGTTGATTTTAGACTACCACATGTTTTCTCTGGAATACCAAATGAAGCAATTGAGTATGATTGTTTTGATGAAAACTTGAAGGCCAACTGTTTATCTGAATTTAACAATCTGGATTATAAACATGAGTTGCATTTCAAGTATTTGGAAGAAAAATATGCAGACGTTATCAGAAGGTATGTTGATTTGAGAAAATGTACCAATATTAATTAAATATGGCATGACTGGTGCACATTGATTTATTAAAAGTCTTTATTTTCTTAAGTTATTTTAGTTTTGGTACTTTGATATGGTTAACAGTCTAGCTTATTTTTCTTTATTTTTTTCTAGAGCTCCTTCAGGTAAATGGTCAGCTAATGAACACTTGGCATTTCAACATATTCTTGAACAGTATGCAGATGAAAAACATGACAGAAGAATGCTCTACATTGATAGAATGATAAGGAATCTTCCAAACAAAACAAGACAAGAAATTGTGAGTTTTCTGTTGTTTTGTCACAATTTCTGTTGTTTAGTTAATTCATTTATATAATTTAACTCTTCATTTTTGATGTTAAAGTTGGTTAGATGTTAAAGTGCCTAAATTCCAACCATTTTGTTTATGCAAGCTTGATGAAATTGAGTACTACCCTTTTGTTTCGATTTGGCAATAGCTGATGGTAAAAACAAGGAGAAGTGTTAATCATCTGCTCTTTGCATAACTATTTTGCCTCCAGGTTGAGCATGAAGACTGGTGGTTTGCCTTCAAATCATTCCAAAATCAATTCAGAGATCAATTACATGCATGGCAGCGTGATAGAACTGATCTCCTTTTGAAAATAAAGGCAGTTTTTGCAGAGGCTAACGCTGCAAATGAAGCAGAGATGGAAAGGTTTGCTGATCGTCAGAAGCAAAAGAAAATATGCGAAGACTGGCATCAAAAGGTAATGATATTTGATTTTTGAGTTTGTGAAAATTGCTGTTTACTGGTCAGTGATCAAGTGCTCTTTGCCATATAGGGAGATCTGAACTTGAAGTTTTTGAAAATTGCTGTTTTGCCAGTCTGTCAAAAAGTGCTATATGACCCAAAGGGAGAGCTGTAAATTCATTTGGTGTATAGGGCAGGACATTTCTAAGTTGATACTGTGTGTTTCCAGTTTCATTTTATCATCAGGCAACTGTTTTTTTAATGTACACTCTTTTTAACAAAAAAAGCACGATTGTCAAGTTTAGATAAAAGGAACTGATTATGCTGTCATTAGTGATTTGATACTTCTTTATCTATCATTTTTGATAAGAGCATTTTGCCTGAAATTGCATATGACTCCCAACTCACAAATGTGGGTTGCTATCAATTGATTTATCTCCGTTATGATTCTTGTATATATGTTTTCAACTGTTTGATAAATCTAGCTGCTTTAGTCAATCAAGACAGTTGTTTTCTTAAGATAGGATGCAGATAACTTTGTGCTTCTCTTATTTTCTTAACTTTTAGATTAATAGAAACTTCAAAAGAGGTTTAGTGCTAATAAAACAGCATTTGTTCCAAAAAGTAGGTTCAAACGTACCAAAGAGCTGCTTGTGCATATGGTTTCATATATTTGTTTAAATTTACTCTATATCTATATTGGTTGTGAACTCATGAAAATTATCAAAATACTGCTTTTTTGTTTAATCTTTCAATGGAATGCTTTTCATTTTGCCATGTAATTGCTAACTATTTGCTAAAACAAATTGTATACCGATTACAATACTTTTTGCGGTTCTCTTTTTCTACTTTTTTGCATATAATTTTGTTTAATCAGGGCTGTTTCTCTTGCTTGCAGGTCCTAGATTTCCAGCTGAAGAAACAAGAAATGATGAGGCTTGAAGCAGCAATAAAGCTGAAAAATGAAGAACAAGAAATAGAAGCCAGGAGGCTAGCTGAAGAGAAGGAAAGAAATCGGCGGCAGAAAATAAAATCAAAGGTAGGATTTTGGTCAAGAAAAGGAAAGTAATTTGTGCAATTTTCTTTTAACCATATAATGAGCAAGTGGGCATAAATTTCTTGAGTATTAGCTTGATCATGGCTATAGTTCTTAGTCTGTGCTGTTTTGTTCTGTAGTTGATGAAGCAAATTGTTTTAATTATACTAAGGTAGCTATAAAGGGGAGAAAGAGAGGATGGAAGTGGAGAGGAGAAATAGAGAGGAAAGAGGAAAGAAGGAGGCTCATTTCTGGATTGTACATAGCTATGATTTGTTGAGTGCACCAAACTAGTTTGTAATCAGTGGGTTACTATGGAGCTAGCGCCAGCTGATTTTGCTGAGGTTCAGTAAAGTTAATAGTTTTGATTGTAGCATTTTTAATGCTGGTGAGAGGGAGAGAGCGGAGATGGAAAGACAAGGAAGAGAGAGAAGGAGAGACATGAAAGAAAGAGACTGTAGATTGAGAAAGGAAAAAAGTGAGGACGAAAGGGCAGGGGGAGAGAGGGAGAGGAGGAAGAGGGAAACTCCGCCAACTGTGCTGATTTTTTAAGTAAACTTGACATTCGTGTTCCCAATATTAGAGACTGATTAATGCTATGCATTGTTAATTGAAAATGGCGGAGAAGATTTTTGCTCCAACATCACGAGCGTAATAAGAAAAGTTTTGTACCAAGATATTTTCTAAATGTAGTGTAACTTCCTGCTTCTATACAGCTTGAAACATACCAGTCTGAAAAACAAGATCGACTAAAACAGGAAAAAGAGCGTGAACAAGAGAGACTTATGGAGCTGCAAGCAGAGCTGGAGGAGCAAAGAATTAGAGACAAAGAACGGTAAGTTGTTGTCCATGTTGCACACTTTTTAAAGCTGCAATAAAGTAATATTCAATCGTTTTTTACATCGTTAAACGGCATAAAATTGTCCAAAAATTCTACTGACAAGTGAACAAATATGGAATGGAAATTCGGTCTTGGGTGAGGCTAACAAGCATAACAAAAGGCTTTAATTTTACTTTCTGCTACCAAAAGCCTTGAAATTTAGAGAGATGTTTCACTATTAGTCGAGGTCTGTTTTGTTGCAAAATAGAAGAAAATGAGGGATAAAATCTAGGTCACCTTCTTGTATAGCCTGTAACATAGTTTAAAGTTTAAGTTAAAATGGGTTTATATACCCTGTAGTTAGTATTTTGAGGATATTTATCATATGATGCCAGTTTGTTTTAAGCGATTTTGTGATGATTAATCAACTTTTAGAGACGACCTGATTGAAGAACTTATATCTTTTATATTTTATTCCATAACGGGTAGAGATGACTATTTATGTACAAAATGAATATACAAAATAAACAAAATATACAAAATGGCTTATAATTCAAAGTATTCTTTTTTTGTGTGTAAGAAGTAAGAACCGCAGGATAGCCTATCGGCCGGATCCTGTGAATTTTGCAATGAGTATAAATACGAATATGAAATTCAGGAACAAAGCAAAATGGCGACGAGAATCCAATGTAATTCAAATTAAATAATACGAATACTAATGATCATCACATTGCGGTATTAACAGGGTCGAGTTTAGGGAAGTTCTGTTACGTGAAAAAGATGAAAAACGGAAACAGGCAAAGGAAAGGGAAGAAGAGCAAGAGAAAGAAAAAGAAGAAAGGCTTGAAAAACTGAGGAAACAGGTAGGGTGTATAGGTTTTACATTTGCGAATAATTTTTTTCAAAGCCACTGGTTTTAACATCATTTCCAGAAACAGACAAGAAGGTATTTTCTTTATGAAAACTGCAGGGCCGGCCTCGATTCATGGAAATGATCAATGCAATACAGCGTATGCTTGATAGTCTAGTGTTTATCGTTTTAGAGAACAAAAGCTGAAATTCAGTTCTAGGCAAGTTTGTTGCATATGAAATTTTCCTTTCTTTTTCGTGTTATTGTGTCTTGTTATTGTGTCTTGTTATTGTGTCTTGTTATTGTTTAAGGTTCGTGTTGAAGCAACTTGCGATGCAGCCAGGGTGCTAGAGCCGACAGAGGTAATCAACTTTTATACATTGTCTGATAACAGTTGAGCGTAATTATTATTATGTTTTGTTTAAAGCTACAAAGAAAATATTACTCAATGAATCTAAAATCATTTTAGGCTTATCAGGCAAGGCAAGCCGCCAAATTTGATGAGGAAAGAGAGCTCCAAGAACCTTTATTTGTGATTAATACTTTCAACACTAACCAGGTTTGTATACTGGCATGTTCCAGATTTTTCTAATTTTTTGCCTTGAATATGTTTCATTTCTCAAGGTATTAACTTGTGCTTGTCTACAATTTTAACTACAACCGCTGCCAGAAGTATTGCTGCACCAGCCACCGTCAGTTTTCAATTCACCCCCTTCCCTTATAACAATGCTAGTCAAATACAAAATGATAAATTAGGAAGTATGTTTTTATGTGGCTGGTATGATCATTGTTTACACTGCTAACGTTTTTGCAAAACGTCCAGGCTAATAGTTTTTTCAATTAATTTTGGCAGGCATTCTATCTTTATATTGCGTACCACAACTACCAGATTTGGCAAAAAGGCCTACCCCGGAGAAAAATAAAACCTGTCGATATTGCAATTTTATCTTTTTTCGTGCTATGGAAGACGCTATAGAAAATTTATAATTGAAAATAAATCTGTTTGGTTTATGAGCCAAGAGGATTATGATTTAATACAGGTTTCTGAAAAAACTGTGAGCCAAGCATCCCAAAAGTGTGAAATATTTCATTGCTTGTGTAATTGTTATGTTTCAACTTATTATAAGCATTTTGATCTTTTTGAATTAATCTTTTTTGTGTTGCATTTGTCGCTGTGTTGTGTTGTGGTAAATGCCATTAGTTTTTATATCTACCATAAAAAAAACATTTCTCAAAACAAAATTAATCTTATATTTTGATGATTCTAAAAAATATTGTGAATGCCTACGTGTATTGAATGGGCTTTTACCTTTACGGCTGTCTTCAATTGCGAATGGAAAGTAAATTTTTGTAATTTTTTCATTTTGACATTCTTCTGCGGAGTTCAACATCCTCCGTTGAAGGGTTACTGCATTCGCTTAAAGAATTTAATGCATGACTTAAGATCCCAGTTACAAAATCAGACAACTTTGCCTTTAGTTTACAAATTCAGGTTTAACAGAGATAGATTTAGTCTAATTGTATTTGAGAATGAAGTGAGCAAGCATAATAGAATGACTCTTTGTATGAGACTCATTCCTATAAACATTAGATAGCCAAAGAAGCAACGAAAAAATAAAAACATACCAATTTACATTATTATTTTAGGTTTTGTCAGACAATAGACTCAAAATGGAGAACGCTCTAAGGAAAGCTGGTCTGCACAACTCCGACTATGCCAGGCATGTCATGTCGAACGTTGCCCCTCCTACAGTCCCACGGAAAGATGCAGTATCGACTTTATTCAAGTTTGTACCAGCTTTATTATTTTTCATTGAACTAGTGAAAGGGAACAAGGGAGGCTAACTATTCCATGGTCCTTTCCACTTTAAGAAATTGATCAATAATCTACTTACTTTGGCTACTGACATCCTCAGAAATACTTGAATGTTAATGTTGCTGTGATCAATTGATCACCCCGGGAGACGCTCCTTTGCATGTTTGATGACCATGTTGCACAGGGCAAGGATATTCATTCTTAACCAGCAGATAATACGATTAAAGTTCTTTGTCCTAAAAAGCTCAATATTGCCGCCTCTAGATTGCTGTATTTTATGTCAGCTATTTCATATTCATATCATTTGCCAGTCTTGAATCCATCTCGCACTCTTCATTATCGCCCCCACGTTTCTCAACCATAGGGCCTTCTATCGCATCTTTAAGAAGCCAATGGAAGTATCATAAAGATCAGCACCTCTATGTTTCCATTTTTTAAATGTTTCTATGTTTTCATGTTCTTATTTTCTTAAGGACTACTGCGCTTCGTTGGGTACTCTGTCTTGCCTGCTTATTTTTTAACGCCATTTTGGCTAAACATATTGGCTAAAAGCTTTTTCGTCATGACACTTCTCACTTTTCAAAGCCATTTTCAACATTATAATTGTATGCTCCCTAGAGACTTCGCATATCGTTTGATAATTTAAAAGAAGCAGTGTATGCAAACTCAAATAGCCTTTTTTGGTTAATTACCAAACCTATTTAGAAAGGATGGGGTGCCAACTAGATTTTGAGGAAAGGCCATATATATTTCCATGTAAAACTTTATCTTCGAGGGGTATCGTGTCATAATAAGCGAATACTGCCAAAATCTATCACTCTATCTGAAAATGTTTGATATTGTATGCTGAAAACACTGTATTTGTTATTGATTGCTGGGTTAATTTATCTGTGTGCTAGAATTCGGTTTCAGCATTGAAACTCTGAAAACCAAATTAAACAATGATGCAAAGACGGAAGGGGACAGATGATTGTCTGAATTTTTAAAAGCCTTGAGTAATATTCATTTGGATTCTAAGCATCATATTACTAGGAATAACCATTTTCTAGACAAAGTTGAACAGCATGAAAGCGTCATTGGGTTCTGAAGCTGTTTGGATCTACTTGTATCATGGTCACAGAAAGGCAGCAGACTTTGTTTAAAGATAGAAGAAGAGGTGATATAATTTAACCTTATGCTACAAAGTATACTGAGGTCGCCTTGCTTGAAAGATGAAGCTTTCTCTTCCAAAAAACATTCACCTCCTCAAGTGAACATTCAAACAATGACTTATGAAGCACAAATGCTTATTTTTTATGTAAATACTTGCTTACGGTTGTAAAAAGAATTTAAAGGCACAGATTAATAAAACATCAGAATTGAATGAATCTTGGATGATTTGCTTTGCTTCCTCTGGTTGTGCAGAAATGCCATCAGCTGGCTGGTGATGCATATTTTCTACATAATTCAGCTTCTGTAGAGGCAATAAATTACATAATTTCAAGGTTGCCAAGTTTTCAAAAATAATACCTGTGAGATTTCACGAGCGCAGCTAGTGAGCAATGGAACTGGGGTCCAGGGTTGGGTGCATAAGAATTCTGAATTTCAGTAGATCTGGAGTGTTCAAATGGCTTAAAACTAGACCATTCAGAATACCTAAACATTTTTTTATTTCACATTTGAAACATCCCAGAAAAACACAGAGAACAGGCTTTTAAACGTAAGAATAAACAATCAAAGCAATGAACAATAATAATGTATAATGAATTGACAAGAATGTGCACTTGTAAAAGGGACCACAAGTCTAAAGTTTTGACTATGATGAATGGAGGGTATTATATTTTGTGGTTGCTTTTTTCCCCTCACTCTTAAGTTTCATATCAGGTGCAAACTCATATGCCTCGGTTCGGTCCAATTTTCTGTTGTCACCTTTGTTAGTCACTCAAGCAGTAATCATCAGAAGGTCGGGGAATGTAAGCCAACGACAATCAATGATCACAGACTTATTATTAGACTGATACATTTAAAGCATTTGACAATCATTCGCGCAACAGGTCTGGGCAAGTGATTGTCATAAACAATGTAGTGGAATGAAATGTGTTCAGCAACCACTCAGGCGTTTGATCTGAATTGAAAGAAGAATGAGACCCAGCAAGAAATCTGTGAGAAAAGTAACTCCCGTTGTGAGACTTTGAGAAAAGGCGAATATCCATGAGTAACACGGCCAAACCGTAAGACTTGGCAACCTTGTAATTTTTATGACATCAAAACTTGTAGAAAGCATTGATAACAATTTGTTTTTTGGCTGAGCAAATATTCAAATGTTTTGATTAATAACAGCAATGATCTGTGCTTTTTTCATACAGTGAACTATGACATGTTTTTAAAACTATTAACAGAATGATGTTTTTAAATTTCTGTCTTGATAAAGACACCATCTGGAGATATGTCTTCGTAAAAGATTTGAATTAAAAACTACATGAAGTAATTCGAAACCTGAATTTAAAGCAATTTCATTGACAAGCATTGCTAATAATACGGGTATCGGATAAAATTTGACTTCAGTAGATATTTTGTTAGCCAAAAAGAAGAAAAATTTTCACTGCAACAATAAAAGATATAAGGTTGGTTTGGTTGTTCTATCAAAATACACTTGGGGCTGAAAACATGCATGTGTTCTTCTTTCTCTATTTATTTTTTATAAATCCTGTTTCCAAAGAAGGGACATTTAAAAGAAGAGGTAGGAACTGGGCACTTAACCAATGTAATAAAGTAGTAAAGTATGTAACCCTTTCTATGGAATTTTTTGCTGCATAGCAAAGAACTCATAAAAACTTCAGAATAAACTTCTTTTCATTGAAGAAAAATTCATAGAAATAAAATAAAAAAATTACATTACAAAACCAGTTCCCAAAAACAGCTTCTAGAAATTATTTTATTATTTACCATTGCCATTCATTATGTACAATTATCGTTATTTACCATTTTATCATAAATTACTATAAACTATTCCAATATTGCTCCTACTCATATCAAAATTATAGAGATGGTTACCAACAATAAAAAGAATAATCAACATATTATCTCGTTTGCCATTGTACCCTATTTATGAAATTGAGTGATGACTTGACTGCTTTTTTACTTAGAAATTAACTGATTAGTCATATTTGGTAAAAAAATATCGTCATTTGATATTTTCATGGATCTGCATTCCTTCAGAAGCATAAAAAATGAACTTCAAGGGAGCCAGGGCTGCCAGTTTCCTCCATGTATCTTTGGATTTGCAAGTGGGTCATTTGTAAAATTGTTCCTTGGTTTTACCATACCCCCTTTGTAGCCATTCAGTCTGTCAAGAAGAGCCAACATCAATTCAGGCTGCTCATTTGACAAATCATTATATTCACATGGGTCTTTTTTAATGTCAAATAAACATGCATCAGAGCAGTCTTTTGTTGCATTGGCTGGCCTAGGACCACATTTGATGGTAGCTTCCCTTATAATAGGGTTTGGGTGTTCTGGAGCTAAGTCCACTTCTGGTGGTGGAAACCATCCTGACCATGGCCCAGCTTTCTCTCCTTGGATAATTTTATAGTTTCCAACTCTTAGTGCAGCATTTTTGTATAATAATGGGTCAATGTTAAGCAAGATATCTTCTCTTGGTGACTGTTCACCATATGCAATAGCACCCCAAATGTTTTTTCCATCTATCTTTAAGGTTGAAGACTTTCCACCAGCCAAGTCAAGAAATGTTGGAAGCCAGTCAGTAATATGCATCAATTCATGAGAAACTCTTCCTGGTTTTCCCATTAGTTTACTGTTCACGAATGCTACACCCCTAACACCACCTTCCCATAAATGTGCCTTGACACCTCTCAATGGGTGATTATTTGCATAATTGTAATCAAACCCATTGGCAGGGCCTCCATTATCAGTTGTGAAAACAATAACTGTATTGTCAAGAATTCCAGCATCACTTATTGACTGATAAACTTTCCCAACTGCCTCATCAAGTGCAGCAGTCACTGCTGCAAATTTTCTTCGCTCAATATTTTGAATATGCTGAAATTTCTCAATCCACTTATCAGGAGCTTGTATAGGGTCAGCTTGGCGATTGGCACTATGTACTGCTTGGTAAGCTAGATACAAAAATAGTGGTGCTGACTTGTTATGATTTCTAATTCTATCAATTGCTTCTGCAGTGTACATGTCAGTACTGTAGTTGCCCCACTGATTGAAAACTGGTTTGTCATTATCATGTAAATCAAGGCCCCAAAATGTTTCTACATTTGAATGATCCCAATAGTCACCTTTACCCAGGTAGTACCCATAGAATGTGTCAAACCCCCTGTTATGTGGAAGGTAACTCCGCGACGACATTCCTAAATGCCACTTGCCAACAGCATGCGTTTTGTATCCTTGCAGTTGCAAGTACCTTGGTAATAGAGTCTCCTTTGGGTCCAAGCCCCATGCATTTGGTCCAAAAACAGTACTTGTCTGCATCCCAGTATGGATTGGATACTTTCCAGTCATAATCGCGCTTCTTGAGGGAGAACATATCGGGGTGACATAGTAATTATTAAGTATCACACCGTTCAGTGCTAACTTGTCTAAGTTTGGTGTAGGTATTTGATTGGAGCCATGGAAGCCGACGTCGTTCCATCCTAGATCATCAGCAACAATCATAACGATATTAGGCTTACTTGCTGCGCATGAAAATGAAAACAGAAAATGATGGAAAATAAATGTAAATATAAGACTTCGATCCATTTCGCCGGCTGAACCCTGCCTTCACTTCGAGATTCAGCATCTACCTTGCTGATGTTGTTGTTGCTGCATAGCCTATGTTCCAGACCCCTAACTTTTGAGCACAGGCTATTGCTGCATGACAAGTAAACAAAAACGAAATATGGATAGCCAAAAGTTTGGGGTCTGAAGCACAGGCTAAATATGGAAAGCTACTGACTTCAAAGGTATTTTTAGTACGAAATCTATTGAAACTTAAAATATGTAAAAAGCTCAAATTAATTGTTTATAAAATTAAATTAACTAAAATTTGTGATTTACAAAAAATCTTTGGAAAAATTGAAAATGAATAAATATGTTGACAGGGACAGCGGAAGCAGGGGGGCTAATGTGGCTCTAGTCCCCTCAAAATTTCTAAAATATACTTAAAACCATGCAAAAAGTCGCCCTGCTTTTGGTTTTTAACATGTTTAGCTCCCTCAGTCTGTTTAATGCTCCGCACCGCAATCATTGTCAGTTGATGGACACATTGAAAAAAAACTTAGACACTATCAAAACTACATGCAAAATTTCGACGTGATTTGACCATAGGATATTTAAACAAAACAAGAATTAATAAAAGCTAGGGTCTCTGGAAACAAATGAATATTTTATAAGAATGAATAAAATAAGCAAAATAGATTAGAAAATAAATGCACGATTGTCAAGTTTAACACCGTCAAATGCTAGAAAGCTTCTTTTGAGATTGTCATTTGGTTGATTTTGCTTGAAGAGGTAACTAAAATGCCGAAAACGAGTATAACCTATCGACTCTCGCGGCTTTTTTCTCGTGACAGTCACACTGACCCGCACTCACGCTCAACTCAACATCAGGAAAATAACAATAAATGGCAAAGCAAAGAAACCTTCAGAAAATAAGAGTAGTGAGTCGTTTGCTTGGACAGGCGACAAAGTTGAGCTATTACTGAAAGTCGCTTGTTATTAAAAAGTCCATTCGATATGATTGTATATTGAGAAGGTTAAAGAATGAAATTTTTATCTGCAAGCAAGCTAACAGGCTTGCCAAAAAAGATACCAGCAGAACGATTTCTTCACTCGGCATCGTGGCTGGAAGTTGCTTGTTTGTGACGTCAGCGTTTTCGAAAAGTTCCGTTTTTGCCGTCCACACGTGAACATGGAAACGGCGATTCAAAAATGTCCACTCTTCACCGAAAACGCTCTCTAGAGGAACATTAAAACATAATTGGACGGAACATTAAAACATAATTGAATTTTTTTAAAAATATCCGTCAAATTTTTTGGTCTTCTTGTAAAATTGTCACTTCCAGTTTAAAGAAACTAGAAAATATCTCTTACATGGTGAAGGGGTGTGCATTTAAAGGGAAAAAGTACCCTTTCTAAAATTGCTGCATAACTGCAAATGGGAAATTTACTATAACAGTATTCAAACAATAAAGCAAAACCAATGAGCCATATTAGTAGTGGTAAGCAATTCGTCATAGGCAGATTTTTTTACATGAGCTTAAAACAAATATTAACAAAATGCTAATATTATTTAGCATCATGCCAGATTAACAATATCTTTAGTCAAAGGCCCGGAATTTTCAGATGACAAACAACAGATTTGCACTTGATTTGATTAATACTTAGGCTTTTGCCAGGAAACTGAGTAAGAATTAACATGGCTTATTAAGAAGATATCTCGGCAATTATTATTTTATTCAAAATCGTTTATCATGGTTCTGTAATGTAGTGCCTACAGAGGCTTATGTTTTCCGTAAAGGAAATGACTAGAAATATTGAAAATACATTGAAAACAATTTAAACTGTGTTTAAATGAAGTTAATCGCGCATTCTGTTATTGTACTCTAAGGGGTCCTTCAAAAAACGTCAGCCCCTGGCCCATTTTCTTGGGAAGTTAGACGCATTATTTTATTTCCGAGAAAAAACAAGCAGAATAAATTACGAACGAGGCTGGAGTCGATTACACGTATGTTTTTTGTTTAGAAGAGTTGTGGCAAGTGGTTGCTCGACAGGTGGTTTATTTGGAACATTCGAGCTTTTGCATAGCTCATCAGATAGCGAATCTTACTGCAGAGACAACAAAATTGAAGAAAAATGTACGGACAACCAGGCAACCCACAGCCAGGCTATGGGCAGCCAGCTCACGGCCAGCCAGGGCAACCTAATTATGCCTACGGTTACGCGCCGGGTCAACCCCAGCAAGCACCACCTCCTTACTCTGCTGCCGGTGGGCCGGCTACGCAACCAACTGCTACCACTTATACCTACGATTATGGAACACCCATCAACCAAGATGGAGATGATGATGGAGGAGGAATTATGTCCTCTGACTTTGGTGAAAAGTCTGTTCGAGCAGGTATGTCAACATTTTGTCTTGGGCACCTTAGGCCCATCTCATCTCAAAGATCTTCCTGTTGTTCAGGCACGGCACTATTTGTTTGTTTACTTAATTTGAAATATTTGGATTTTGCGCAGTAAGCAACATGGTTTACAGATATTTTTATTCTTAAAAACTTTAAAAAAAATTCTGCATTCAAAATATGTGTTTTTCAAAGATATTGTAACATATTTGTAACATAACAACAAACAACTTGATTTTCTCACACACCTGCACCAGTTGTAAAATTTAAAGCTGGTGGGAGCGTCTTCAGTTCATCTACACATGTGATGTGGTATTATGTAATATTTATGAAGCAAAGTTTGTTTCAGTATGATTTTTTGTGATCTACCGTTTAAATGATAATTTTTAGGAATCTTTATTTTTTAGACAGGCAGTCAGATCATGTGCTTTGTTAGAAAGTGTCAAACAGATACATTAGCATTTCTGCAATATTAGGGCCCACCCAAAACTAGATGTATTAAATTATTGTTGATACTGGTGGTGCATCTGGCATTTTTGGATGATTTTCGCACACCCACACATGGTTAAGGGGCTGTTGGCACACCCCTGATCTTGTCAAAATAGGCCATACTCTAAACGTTAGTACATAAAAAGGTCTTCCTTTCACAACGCTAAAAAGAGTATCCTGGAAACATGTCTACCACATTTCTGGTCTGGCTCCAACATACCTTTCATTCAACATAGAGGCTAATTGTGAACTCTGCCAACCTTATATCTTATGATACATGTTTTTTACAAGAATCATCAGGCTAAGATCTGCTGAAAAAATAAGAACAATGTAATAAACAAGGCAAGCTGAGATCCAACAAACTTGAGAAATAAAATATCACCATACATTGAAAAATAAAAGAATAACAGCATAACAACTTAAAGCAATTAGCAAAATAGCATTTATTACTTTATCACTACTATGCACAGAAAATTTCATTACAAAAATAAGAAACAAAATAAGAAACAAGTGAGGCTGAAATAATGCAATAAAACAAGAAACACCAGGCTGTAAACTGGAGCTAAGTGTTATTATAGAAAAAATGTGTGCTGAACTATGCATCAAGCAATTGGTCTGTATGACAGGGTGAACATTTCATGGTTCCATAACATTTTTATTAAAGGATAATTGTGGGCTCTCAAAAAGTACTGCTTCAAAAAGGATGTAATGGAGGTTTCCAGTATATAAAAAAAAATTGCATCAAGGATTATGATTTTGAATTCCTTGGAAATCTTAGAAATGGCCAAAAATGTTTTAACAAACATAATTTGCATTGTAAAAGCCAGCAAATGGATGTGATTAATGTGACTGCCACAAATCTGATCATTTATTGATCCTATTAATGTTAAATTAGCTTTTTTTACAAAAAATGTCAAGTTGAGTTTGATATCATGTAGGGTTGTTTTTTGAATAGATTTTATTTGCAATGCCTGAAAAAAACCAGATGATTGGTTTGAACTTAGTCTTAGAGCATAGTTTTACTGATGATGACAGCATCTCGCAAAAAGGGTTCTGTAGCAGGTGTTTACTTAAAGTAGACATTTCCAAAGAACTAGAGAGCATAGAAGCAGAAAAATTTTCTTGGGCATGCCCCCATACCCTACCTTTGCCTGTGTGGCTGTTAAGATCCATTCTGGGTCTTTCACTGACCTTGAGATCCCTTGTCAGCTCAAACATTTTTCCTACCTGTTCACAAAACTCACTCATGTTCAGAGCTAAAACTTGACAGGTCTGAGATAATCTGAGAGAATCTCTTTGATTGCTGCTTTAATTTGTAGAACTGTATATAGATTTATGTTTTGCCAAATAGTTAAAAGTCATAATGATGTGATGAGCGTTTTCATAATTTGTTAATTTGTACCAGTTAACCTGAAAGAGCATTAATGAAAATTGTTGTTGATTTATCAAAGAGAAACTTTGAATTTGCTAAAGCCCCCCCCCCCCCCCAAAAAAATTGATAATAGTATCATTTGTTGTTTCCAATGAACAATTTCTTTTGTTTCTATTGTTCTCAAACAATTTTGTCCAATATATATGTATATAAATATCTATATTTAAATCCATTACAATATCAACTTTTCTGAGTGAGCAAAGGAAGTGAGCAAACCATAAAGCTGATATCACATATTGCAATTACAGTTTTCAATTTTGTTTTGTTAATCTTGACATTTTTGAAAGTCCTTCAGGATTTAGAAAATATCACTCTATTTTACATTTTCTTACTTCATTTTGACTTTTTTAGTATTCATCATCTTCTTTTATTAGTTCTGCTTTTTTGGAATGTTCATTATTTGTTTGTACAATCATGTCTTCATTATCATTCAATAAAAATATACTGGTACAAATTTTCATAATTTCATATCCTTTTTCTTTCAGCATTTCTACGAAAGGTAAATGATCATCTTATATTTCATATGTTCATAACCCATAGCTGTCAACTGTTTCAAACATTGATATGGCAACTCTTGTTTTCATAATTAGTTAGGGATTATAGGCTCATCGTACTCAAAGGGTTTGGGAAATTTTTCCTAAGAGTTATAATCACAAGGCAGGATAGCAAATAAATAGAGGAGTGAGTTGTTCAAAAGAATCTAATTTTCAGAATATTCTGCTTTTGATGGACAGTCCTAAACACAATACTTTACTGCATGTTTTATTGGGGAAAGTATTAGAAATTATGATAATAAAGAAATATTGCATGCAAAGTTTGACAAATTAATAAAAAAGTCTAGGGCAGCTTTGGTAGGATGACTTTTTAAAGATAAGAAAGTGCAGGATTGTCTGTTATGAGCACAATAATGCAACATTAGCTTTTCTTTAGCATCAAATTAAGAAAATTAAGATCTTTGCAGTGTTACAACATTTATTTTATTGTAAAAAATCTTGATTCCTTTTTTTCTGAAGCTTTTGAATGTTAGGTTGGTTTGGGCAGCAATTTTTTATTTGGTTATTTTACAAGTTTGACATGATTCTTCATTTTTGTTTCATTCATCCTTTTCTATTTTCAGAAGTTCTTGGCTTTATTTGTTGTTTAAACTGAAATGAATGGTAGATGATTTATAGCTAGTTATTAAGCATGATAAATAGGGTTGTTTACAACATTAGCTTTAATTATCAAATTGTCACATTAAGTGAAGCAATACAGTTATTAGTTACTAGTTTTATGATATACCAATGTGAGTAAGTTATTATGTGATTTGGTTAAGTTTTGAAGCTCTATATCTGAAACTTCTTCCTTTCAAAGGTATACTCATTACTCTGTGGCCAGCTGCTGATTTCTATTGGCATTGTCTGTCTTTTCATCTTTCAGTAAGTACAAAAAACAGTGTGTATCAATTTCAGAAAAGTTTATTTTGTTTTAAATAAGGGCTCATACGTTTTGAATAGAGATTTTCAGTAGTAATTTTCCACTGCGAAATTATGTGATTTTCAATACACTTTGCTAGTTTTCCTTTTTGGGAAAAGAAAACAATTTTTTTCTTTTTTAAAATTTCCTCAAATTCTCAATATCTTTCTGCTGCTCTGTGTTCAAGCACCTTTTGCTCTGTCCTGGAACACACTTTATAATAGTGATGATTACATGTTGTTTTAATTTACACTTTTTTTACAATTTCAGTACGCCAACAAAGGTTTTTGTAAAGCGACATCCTGGAACATTTTATGCAGCATGGTACATTTGCTTTAGATTTTTTTCTAATAATTTAGCCAAATCAAAATTTCTGTCAATCTTTGACTGAATATTATGTTTTTTGCTGCTTTTGAATAAAAGATCTGGGCAGAGAATTTTGGTCCTCTTTAGTAAAATTTCTGTTATTGAGTCCATCTATTTTTATTTAAATCAGCTCATATTCAAAAGCTCATTCTTGTTAAATTTGTTTGTAAGCCACCACAAACGTTCCTACATTAACATGTACTTTCTTTTCCACTTTTAAATTTCTTATTTTTACTTTTTGTTTGCCAACTTTAGAACTTCATTCATTTGCTTTTGATAGAAATCACCTGTCCATTTACGTTTGACATAAACGAAAGTAATATAGCCCTAAGCTTTACTTTGTTGTATTTTTTTCCTTACATTTCCTTAGTCTATGTTTCCAATAGATTCCTTCAAGTTGATTTTATGGCATTATCTGTTCAATCTTACAGGGGTGTCACATTGGTAATAATGATTGTTATTGCTTGCTTCGAAAAACCAAGGTACATACAACCATGTCTTTACAATAATAATTGAAATTGCAGTTATAAAATCTATTTCACACCCAAATTTGTTAAATTTTCCTTTGTAAGGTTTTCACAGGTAAATCTTTTATCTAATAAAATTGGCTGAATACAAACTTATTTATTAGGCATAGCACAAATCCATTCAGCTTTGTAATAGTTCACAAATATTTAGAAAAGAACTTGACAATGGCAAAAAATATTGCTTTTTGATTTGTTACTTTTAAATATACAATTGCTTTGTGATTCTGCTTTTCAAGTAAAAAACCTTTAAAAGGTTTAAATAACAATTTTGGCTCCATTTTTGACCCTATATGCTAGGTATTTTGAGGTTAGTAGTTTCTGCCCTTTTCTGAGAATAGTAAAGCACGCCAGGGAAAAAGTTCTAACTGCAAGATGTTTAGATTATAGTAAGAACCAAAGTACCTCAAATAATATAATTTATTTATATCTTCTTCTTAATACCTCATTTAATTTTTTGAAAATGCAAATTACTCATGGCTCAACTAGATGTTTGCATGATTATTTTGTATCACAAGAAGTTCCCGTCACAAGAAGTTCTTTTTCTTTCGTTCTGTAGGCGAAAGTTTCCACTGAATCTCGGATTGCTTGGATTATTTGTAAGTACCCTTTTCCAATATTTTCCCACTTTGATTTGAAAAGGATGTTGATGTTTCTATAGGATTTAACTATTATTTCAAACTTTTAATTGTTTCAAAAGACTTGTTTTTTTGCTGAAAAGCAAAATAATTTCAAAATGCTAAAAATCTTTGAATGCTGTATCTTTGTAACAAGTGCCTTCCACTAAGAAAATGGTTGGCACGTTGTATTGATGCTGAGCTTCCTAAGCTTGTCAGGAAAAGGAAGGTGCAATTTCAAGATATGCAGTTTTCAAATTTGGCTCTCAACTTCAATAGCAAATAAATATTTCATCCATTTATTCATTCATTCTCTTTCAATCAGAAAACACAATGTCATTTTCGTTAATTTCGTTTCGTTGCGAAAAGCCACTGATGTTTTTCATTCAAAAGCAATGATTTTAACTGAAAAGATTCTTTAATTTTGAGACTAGCAACAAAATTTTCATGAAAACGAAGCCTGGGCTAGCCTACATAGAAGGCTTTACTTTCGAATCAGCCACAAGAAGCACACATGCAAAGGTTGATGATTTCACTCAAACGTCTTGATTGCCTAAAATGAAAGGAATCTCGAAAATAATGGTTTTTCGAGGTCCATTGGCCAAGTGAAGCACGGTTACACAGTGGTACGACGTTCAGGGATTATCTTTTACAGTATATTTCAGCATCTGAATGTATTTTTATAACTTTTTCTACGCTACTTCAACAGTGCCCTAAGTTACAACAGTGTCATACTATAATCTAAATAATCAATGAAAATTTGTTTATTATTACCATTGATCCCGTTATAATTTTGTTTCTTCTAGACCTTGGCTGAAGGCTATCTTCTTGGCGTCATTTCTGCGTTAGTATCTCTGCTGTTTTTATCTTTGCAAACGTGTCTTTCCATATCTTATATCACATAACACGTGCATGATAAACAAAGCGCGAAAATTAACTGGAAATCTTTAATCTTAACTGGGCAGTGAAGAAAGCACCGTGATAGACGTTTTTAAGACTCTTTTGATAATGTTTATATTGAATTCAATACGTTTCATGTGTCTCAACTGATACTTCTTTAACCTGATTTGCAATCGAAGTTAATTCGAATTTCTAAATAATTCTGGCAGAATGTGTATCCTCCGCGAGTGCCGTTGTTTTTTATCAACTTACACGACCTATGATTTATTAACAATGCATCGTGTCTTCTAAATTCATTCCTGTTACAATTTGTTTAAGGTATTGTGAATGAGCTAATTAGCAGTTATAATTTCAGTTAGCTCACTTAGTTCCATTCAATTCTAATTTTATACGACAGTTGTACAAATAGATTATGTTATAATACTGTAATTTACACTCTCGCTTGAGAACCTTCATGCTGAAGGTTATATGATTGCCAAATATCAATGTTTTCTTTTTTCTCCCACCATTAAACACATTTCCACCATATTTTGTTTGATTTTTAATGCCTTTTATCAGCAACACATATCTGTAGGCCAATTTGAAAATTGCAGTTGACTGGTATGTTTTCCATTCTATATTCTGTGTTCCACTTTAGCCCTTTTCATTTCTATTCAGTGTTCAGCAATATGATCATTCACATATGATATGATGTAATTTTTTAATTTTAGCTTCTACAAACGCGACGAAGTGCTTTTGGCAATGGGAATCGTAGCTGTACGTTAGCATCATACTTTCTTAATTAAATCTTTTTTCTATGCATAGGTTTTATCCTCAAATTTTATCAAAGATATATAACTTTTCTTCAGGTTTTCTTCCATTAATTCCTAGTTTTCCTCTAGCTTTGAATCTTATAAGTGGAAGGAGTGATGCCTTGCCTTTGATTCTTTTCTTTGATTCATTTCTTACTCTGCCGATGCATTGCTAGTTCTTTTCCCCAGCTCGATCAATCGCAGATTTTGTTCTACACTGAAAAGTTAGTGAGGTTACTACAATACGTAGACATCTATGAGAGTTGTTAAGTTTGTGGCAATAGAAGATTTAAGATTTATAATGATCTGCCACTCGATGCAAGAAAGCTTGAGTCCAAGATCGCCTTCACAGCATTTTTAAAGGAACACTATTCCTGAAGAAACTATTGACATTTAATATGTCATGTAGCAAAAATTTGTTTTCTTCATTTACTTTACTTTCATAACAAGACCCTTAAAATAACAGCATTGTTATTATGCTGATAGGTTATCCTGTCTAAGTATTTGTGTTATTATTATTATTATTAACCTCACTATTGCAAATCTTAGCAAAACTTGAGTGGTGGAGAATCTTGATAGTATTGTCACCAAGTATATCAGATAATGGCTTGAGTTACCAATCAGTGCAACCCCAAGCTCACTTATATTACGCAAATCAAAATATGGTATCAGCCTCATCCTTCCTTCCACCAAATTCAGTCAATGTCAAACTACAATAAGAAATTCACTTAAATCCTTTCCTGATGTCGATATAGCTTCTCTATGAAAGGAAACCAGCCACCATACGAACAGTCAATATGACTAATATAGAAACACTATGGAGGTCATCAAGCCTGTTCAAAATGAACATGAAGAAAGAGTCCACCACAAACTAAAGTCGCAGGGTTTCATTTCAACTTTTCTATCAAATATCTGAATAATACACTCGCCACAAGGGAAAACTTTCCTAAATGGTCATTTACCAAACATCTTGTTGCTCTTTCTGCCTGCAAGATGAAACATTACAAAAAATGTTTTCAAGCTGCAAGTCCTATCTTGAACATGGTAGATATACTCGGAGGCATAACTCGGTTCTATTCTGTCTTGCTAAAGCATTTTCATCTTTACCACAATGTTCTCTATACGTCAATTTGCTTACTTCTTCTTCATCCACATTAATTACAGGAGATTCACTGAGGCCTGATCTTGTCTTAATTGCTAACAATAGTATTCTCTATCTTCTTGAGTTATATAACTGTTGGATTTGAGAGCAACTTAAAAATCAACGGCGACCGCAAAGCGCAAGAGTATAAGTCTCTCATCCACTCCCTGTCAACTAAATATCGCCACGTCCACTCTGTCAATGTGTCGATGGGAACCCTTGGCATTCTTTCTTCTTCTTCCTCTGATTCGCTCTCTATACTCGAAGACCTAGATTTTAATAAAACTCTTCAGCGCCGGCTTCTATCAAAACTCGTGAACATAGCAATACGCTGTTCTTATTATGTATTCTGTAAAAGAAATAAACCTTGTCCTAGTCCCGATTTAATGGACTTCTATAGTGTTCTCGTTGTGATGTTTAATCTAACTTTTGGTCATTTTCAAGTTTCAACCTTTTATTCGAAAGATAAGTCGCCAATTGTACACTGCCTGATAAAAGTGAGGTGTAGAATTGTATGAATTTAGTGATATATTGAATGAAGAGAGATGGCATTTATTATTATACCCTGGGTGATTTCTCAATGTTTTCTTTTTCATAGGTTGTCTCGCTAGCAATCACGATTTTTGCTTTCCAAACCAAGGTGATATTTATACTTCAAAGCTTGCCTATTTCTTTGTTTTTGATAAGCCCACTATGATTTGTCTTATTCACTTTGATTTGTCAAAATGCAATGGCTCGTATTTTCAAGTTCAAATTTTTTCAATGTCAAATCAGAATTAGATTGCAAACTCTAGCTAGTACTTAGTTTTTCCAGCATTAAAGATTTTTAACCAAAACTTTTAATATTGGATTTTGCCATCAGTTAATTAATATTTTCTTGTTTTATTATTTTGCTTCTTAAATTGCCTATTGAAGTTTGCAACTTTATGCTTAAAAGTTCCTTTCCTTTTAAATTTAGTCTCTAAACTTAATACTTAAAAGCTTGAAAATCGTCAGTATTATTTTCTGTTGTGTATTGGTCATCTTAAGAACATAGTCGTTCTTCTTAAAACAGCCTTCACTACTTAAAACACACTAGCTATTGCTTTTTTATAACTGTGAAAATTTTTTTTTACAGTATGATTTCACGATGATGGGTGGCTGTCTTTTTGTGGCCTTGATAATTCTCATCTGTTTCGGATTCCTCACGATTTTCTTCTACAGCCGAGTAAGCAAAGATTTTGTAACTTCAATGCTGTAATCCTTGCTACTATTGGGTCCTTTTCTATGTGTAGAAAGACTTAAGGACTGTTTTATCTCAACCTTCTCACAATGTAGCCAACAAATTTCCATACTTAGCAATACTCTTACTGGCCAAATGAACCAAACTAAAGAAATTACTGTCGGCATTCAGCTGTTTATATGCAACAACCTATTCAGAAGAGTACCTTTATAAACCCGGCCATGTCATAAATGTCTTAAAGATTTGATTTTAACAAAACAGCTTTTGAATTGTGTCAAATATAGTACTAGATACATTTAAGCGTTACGATGTTTCGCAATGTTGCTTTTTACACATTTTTTAAGAGGGAAATACTTTGCTGATCCGCTTGCATAGTAACATTTCGTTTTGTAAGATTTTTCAAGGAATAAAAGCAAGAGTCATTTATCCATTTTAATCGGTATTACCCTTGTCAGAACCTGATCAGACTTTTTTGCTAGATTTTAACCACGCACTAACCAACTTCACTGTCGTGGGAAAATAGCTCGAGAAGCCGCTTCTCTATTCCCACGCTCTCGGCTTGTTAGAAGGAAAAGTTTTAATTCCTGAAAATCGCATCTTGGTTTTGATCGATTTGAATTTTGATATCTTTCTAGATAATGTCGCTGATTTACGCCTGCCTGGGGGCTTTGATCTTTGCTATGGTAAGAATCTTCCCTTCTTTTAATTTTTGGCATAGCAAGTCTCAAATTCACACGTCTTAATCAATCTTATTCACACAAATCAAATTTATTTTCAAACCAGTGAAAAGATTCTTGGTTTTACTTTCCAAGAAATTTGTCACAAGATGGATCAAACTCGTCAAGAGTAGTTTTTTTCTAAATCAAAACCAATCTGACTTTATTCATTGGTTTGGTCATATTTTAAACAATTTTCTGGCAATGCTTTCTTTTTTTAAAACGTTATTTGTTAGTCAATAATTTCGACAACTTTGCCCTGACGCACTTTCCGTTTGCTCTTTCTCAGTCCGTATCTTCTGCCTTCAAAAATCTCTTTACAATTCGTTTTCCAAAAATTAAGAACCTTCCTTTCAAGTGTAGAGCAATACATTCAGTCAGTTTATAAGGATTGAAATTTCTCAGATCTCCCAACTGTAGTCTTGATAATGAGCTGTAAAAACCTCAAAAGATGTCCAGACATACAGACCGTATTTCTTAAAAGGCGCTTTTTGTCTCATATTATGTTTAGCGGCTAATAATTTTCATTGATGATTCTGTTAAGAGCTAAAAAACGTTTTACTCAATATTTAATTTGTGGAGGGAGAAAAGTATTTAAATTTTGATTGATGAACCCAATGCAAGCCTTGATCCGGTGCTTGAAACACTGCGTGCTATTGTTTCCAATCAGATTTAACCGTTTTCCGCTTTTCTTGTTCTCAAGGCAATAGAATACTTCATTTCGACTTGTTGGCAGTGTGTTCTTGATTCGTTTCGGACAAAGCTCGTCCTTAGCTATAGAATTTACAAACAGGAAGTTGCTGAAGTTTCATGAATTACTTTAATTGGAAATACATCTAGTGTTTGCTTGACTTCCTCCCAGATCAAAAGCTGATGGAAGGTCGAAGTATCGAAGTCTCTGCGTCATCTGTCATCATATAAGTGTAAACCAATGCCGAGAGTCATTGATTTTCAACGCGGTTTTCTGGCTCCACTCCGAGACCTGTTTATGCAATGCTTTTACTTGATATCCTAAAAATTAAAGGAACTGTTAATTGTTAATCATTTTGACCTCTATAAAGTGGAACGAGCATTGCAATCGAGTCCAAAACTTCAGATGGAAATTGGCTTTTAGAATTAAATATGTGATTGTTTAACTACATCCCTTGGTTTTAAGATTTTCTTCCCGAGTCATACTCAACACAATAATTTCCTTTTAATTATTAGCTGTTTTCAATTTATTTACCAAAGCAAATGCAGATGCTACTCTTCCTAATTCACCGCCCTCCGTATTTGAAAAGAAGTTTGATTCAATTGTGAAATTTCCTTATTGGGATTTCTCAAACATTATAAACAGACAGACAAGTGTTCAGCAGTCATGTAAGCCCAAAACCATAGTAAAATGATATATTGGTGTTATCTCCAAAATCTAGAGGATTTTCTTCAACAATGGCTTGACCTTAGGAGTATCGTAAATTCTCTTTAAGAACTGACAATCGCGACCTAAGACAGCTACACCGTAGCCGAAATATGTAACACCGAATTTCACTCAATTTTAAGTTAGTCTTATTACATTTAATTTTTTAAGAATCCTTTGCTAATTGCTAGAGATTTAAAAAGCAATGCCAAGATGTTTGAAAGAGATAGACAATGCTTGTACAGTCTGTATGTTAGGCCTAGGTGTTTCTGTCAAAGCATGATGTTTTAGTTCCTGTTGATGAATGAATTAGGTTAGCGCATGAACCATTGGTCTTTAAGATGAAACACGTGGATGCTACTGAAAAAGAATTAATTAATCAAACAAATTGTTTATTTTCTCTCCAAAATGCAGGTATCATGAACATTTTATGCCTCAGTTGAAGCATTGGGATCTTTGATTTTGGTTTCATTATATTTACTAAATGGCCATTGAGAGAAACCAAAACACCAAACGTGTTTCTGTTACTCGAAACTATATTCTAATTCGTATTTTCATCTTCAAATTTTTTACACAAAAAAACCTCTTCGGCTTAAAATTATATGACATACTAAACATTACATACTTGGTAGAATTTTATAATTTATTAAAAATGGCCCAATGGAATGCTGTTCTTCCAGCATGTCATGTTTTTATCATCAGCTCGTCAAATATTTTTCAGATGTTTTTCAGTTTGCTAGCTGGCTTTCTATTAACAATTGATGATATTAGATTTTAAGAAATTCTGTTTTTTGTGTATTTTTCCGACATCGTATCCAGCAATGTATTATTTTCACTCTGCTGCTTTCATCATATTGAAAGTGATAGGGTGTTACTGATGGCGCCCGCTTCCTTGCTCGTCCGGATTCACAACTTGAATCGATATCTTAAGACGCAACGTTTTCGTCAACAACCACCCCCCCCCTACCCCATTCAATCTCCATGGACAATTTTTTATAATTTTGCAACGTAACTAGAAGTAATAATTTCTCGTTTTTGAAACCAAGTAAAATGACATCTTTAAAGACCAGCTTGAGAGAAAAAAAGCTTTTCCCTGTCATCTTCCCATGACAGCAGTTGATAAGCCTTGTATCAAGAATATTCTCACGTTCATAATTCCGAGCTATTATCCGTAATGGCGGCATTAATTGAATTTTATCCACTAGCCATAGTATTATAGAAGCTCGTAAAATTTTGTGATCTGTTCTTTTGGAGATGTGAAGGGGTTTTGTATTCTTAAGACAATCATTTGAAAATGTTTCTAACTGCAGCGTGAGAGATTGATAGATAATTTGAGCTGATCCTTTATTCTTCTTTTGATATGGTTTATTTCTTGTAGTACCTCGTTTTTGATACACAAATCATGATGGGCGGTGGGAAGGCCTATTCAATTTCACCTGAAGAGTACATCTTTGCGGCTTTGAACCTGTACATCGATATTGTCACGTTGTTCATTTACATCTTGTCAATCATCGGCCTTGCAAGAGCAGACTAGAAAATCGTAAGTCGTATCATTTTTGTCCTCCTTCAAATCTCCAAATTTCTTGTTATCTCTAAGGTCTTGAAAATTTATCCCAGAAGTTTAGACAAAATCGGTACTGTTTTTACTGCTCAACAAATGGAGTTGGCTTACATGAAGGACTGGTTGGGCACACACAGATCTCGTGACGCTTAAAAAAGGATTAATCCAATTCGAATCCAGATCATATCCAACTACCAATCCCTAAAGATACAACTCTGTGTGAAAGTTGTCATATTTCGGGACAACTAACAACGTACTAGATTAAAGATAATATTAATTCAAACAGTGTATCTTAAAGCTAAAAAACATTTTACCGCTCTGTATAAGATGCTGGTAATAGAAGTCTAAAAATCCGAAAGGTTTTGGTAAGATGCAAACAAATATCAAGTTCACGAGAATGCCGAGGGATTTTTCTTTATGATTAATGTTTTTAGTGATGGGTAATACTTATCAATAGATCGACTCTTTGATTTGTCCGCCATCATGAAACCCATTTTTATATGAAGCATCACACCTAGAAAGAGTTCACTCATGCAAAAAGCATAATATGATTTCCACAAAAAGATAGGGATTTATAAGGATTTTCAGATGCAAAATAATATCTCTATCAAGAGTCTTTTGCCCCTTGCTTCACATCTTCCTTGCAGCTCTTATATATTTAATTTGTATATGGGAGTTGGCGCACCGCTGGTATTGTGCTTAATATTATTTAAGGCTAGAATGCATAAGCTCATATTCCGATTATTATCTTTCTTAAATTATCAACGTATGCATCGATAACCTGTGATATGCATTTCTTGGTTTCAAAAAGTTTGCCTACCAAGTCCTCATCCTGTGTTTGACAATTCTTTTCTTCATGGCTCTGTGTCCCAAACTCAAAATATAGTGGCTCGACTATTCAACCCCAATCTTGATATCTTGCCCATGGAGAATTCTCTTGTTCTGGTTTTGTGTCAAAATAAGGGTAGATTTTCTTATAGATCCTCGTGTATTCAAATAACCGAACTAGAAGACTGACACATTTAGTGGAAAGCACAGTTTAATATAAGCTTCGTATGAGAACCACAAAGAAAGACACGAGCTTCATTTCATAAACGATCATTCGGTGTGTTAATCGAAATTCCAATGATATCAAGATTAAACAAAACCATATTTGATGCGAGTAAATTTGACTTTACCGTGCTGTTTTTGGAGACATATGCGAGTTTGACTGTACCATATTTTTATACTAATTCATTAGAACATTTCAAATGGCGATAGAAGGTAGCCAGTTCTCCTAATTTGTTTGTAGTTCAGTGATAATTCCATGATTTCCAGTCCAGCTGTCACCGTATTTGTATCTTTTTCCACTTTTCCGTTTTTTCTGATTCAAATTTTTTGCTATATTTTCATTCCATTATCATTCTGGGGTAACCTTAAATAATCTTCATCCTGACACCCAAGAACAGTCATGCAGTTAAATTATTTCTTTCTCTTAACAAATTATACCAATGCTTCAACTTATTTCTCCCTATCTTTTCATTTTCATTTCCAACTATTTTATAGATTTAAAAAATCTTTCTTATGCCAGTTTCATTTTTCTGATCAGCTTTAAACTGCTTTGACTTTGGTAGCAAAACCTTGATTCGAATTCATTTCCTAATTTTTTTTAAGAAATTCTTTCTCTATTTCGATAAGAATTCCTTTTTTCATTTTAATAAGAATTCCTTTCTATTTTTGTAGAGGTCATCTGGATCCAGTCATCATTTTTCTCGGCTTTGTTGACTCTTACAATCATAATTAAATCATTATCATAAAATGTGTTTCATTTAATCAGATGATTATAGCTTTGTCAGAACATAGCGAACGCTAAGTACCTTGTGACACATTTCTTGCAGGTGTCTTAAATGTGACATAGATCGCCCCACCTATTGCGAAAGCGTCTAAAACTTTGGATATACTATACTTTGAATTATGCATACTTCAAAGGTACCCTGAAAAAGAGGCAAATCTATTTGATTGAAAGTGTCAATGGTCAGCATTCCTTTTCTTCATGAAGCCTCACAGGATACGAATCTACCATCCAATGAAATAAAACTGACGTATTAGCCCTAATTCTGCTGCATTGATTTATCTTCTACCTGCTACCTTATACATAATTTCTATTTCTGCTATTTCAGACCTCATATTATTATGACAATTTATGCTTATATTTTATCACTTTTTTTATAGAATATATGTCGTAAAACAAACCAACCGTTGTATCAATCTAACTGGAAATTAGTCATCCTTTGATGGATTTTTTGTAGTCATCGTTCCTTTCTCTCGGCTTATCTTCAATCAAATATTGCAAGTTCCCTGTAATGCATGTAAAGTGAACTCTAGTATTTTCAGCTGGGTCATTGTTGCAAGTCAAATGCATTTATTAGAATGTAGAAATTTTCATCACAAATGCTTGATATTTAAGAAGTTTGCAGCCTTCGTAGATTAGAATGATAAATTAACAAGTATTATTTAATAAGTCACGCTTAGTGCATAATGAGCCGTATTCATTTATTAACACAACGTTTATTTGTGATTATTCACTGCTCTGTTTGCTTATTATTCACTCTTGTTAAGCACTGCAGTCCTAATGATCATGATTATCATCACCAGCATCAATTTTCATTATCTTCAATCAGCATCATGAATCACTCATCAATCACCAATCGTCCCTGATCAATTTCTACGTATCAATTCCACATGCTTTTTCAAAATAGCATTCCTTCCAAATTATGGGTAGATTGACTTTGCAAAGTTGCCGGAGATTGTGATTTGCCAGTCTGCTGAGAGTTTTGAAGTATGTTATTTGTTCCAGATAGTATATAAGATACACTAATTAGGTTGCCTGGTATTCAGCCGCAAGTAAACCCACAGGTAACGAAATCGTAGAAGCCTAACATTAAGCCTTTTAGTTTGACTATACTCATGATATTTGTGTTGCATGTGCGAGGCTGCATAATGTCTGACCAGTCTGACATCTCTCAGTCCCTCTCTTCCTCATAATAAGATCTTTATACAGCTTCCAATTTCAAATTCATTTACAATAAGTAGATGGAGCCTTACTGAGGCTTTCACTTCGGATTTACAGTATATGCAACTGAATCACCCCGCCTCCCTTTCAAATCTTGTACTGTATGGCACATGTTATGATGTTTGATTGCTTGTTACTGACTTGCGGTGGCGTGACAGGGAAGTCATTCTTCTTTGCTGTCAATATGTTCATATATGAAACAGTCCATGGAAGAACCCAGGTTGCCCTGGTTTTCTTCTTTATCTGAAGTCAACACAAGCCTACAAAAAAGTCCTATCATATATTCTGCTTGCAGTTATATTATTGCAACAATTTATGCCAAGTGCTAATTAAGGTATTCATAATGAAGAAGCTGCTCCGAAATATATTGCCTGTAAGACAGGAAATTGAAATAGATTTGACTTGAAGGAGAAAAGGTCTCTTTCATAGGACGTACACACATTTATTTTGTGAAGTTTGTGTGTTTTTTATTAGCTATTTCCACGCCAGAACCGACAGACATGCAGTCATCAGAAGTTTCTTTTCAGACTCTTCATAAGCTATCAGTTGAATCTTACTTTTAATGAGGTCTTGCTCAAGTGTACATGCGCAGGAAAGAGGTTCTCAGTGAAATCCTGCAACCAGAAAGGATCCGTAGGTACAATTTAAAAAAATGATAATCGAAACTTTTATTCATTGAAATCAACTTAACTGTTTTATTAGATTCATTTTTTCAATGCCGCGATTTTGATTTTGTCCAAGCAGACACCAGATAAAATGATGGGCACCTCTAAGGTCATTTTAAATTTCTTTTGATACGTAAGAATGAACTGAAACTGAAACTAATTATCGATGTTGTGGATTAAATAAACTAAAATATCTTGGTCTATCCAAACAAATGTCAAACCCTTTTCCTAAAGGGCAATTCGGGAGGGTTTGGCACAATTGGTGCGAAAGGGAATAGAAGAGGGATGAAAATGAGTCATACGAGAGGGACAAGAATTAGCTTTGACCCTAAGGATTTTCAAGGCAGAGATAGTAATTTTATGGATAATTAACCCTTTCTCCGTGCTATTATGCTTATTATCGGCGTTTGTGAAACAAGCACCATGAAATAATAGATTTTGGGTTAATTGATATATGTGATCCGTTTTTGATTCAGTGGGACACCACTGTATCGTAGAAGGGATTTCACGATTCCTATAGGTGGTCCTTTGAAGCTCTTATTTACTCGAAAATTATCTACATTGGCTAAATGAATACCTGGACATTTATACCTGAAATTTGTAGTCAGTTGCTGCAAAGATATATAGTTATAGGTTCATGATTACTCATTGATTATTCATTTGAAGTACCCTTGAAACTATGGGCTTCTTAGTGTCTCGCATGATTTTTGTAGGCCATGTACAGATTATTAACCGAAAACATGATCTTAGATTCCATAAATTAGATCGCCATAAATTATGCTAAAATTGAACAGTAGACACCCTAGAAAAGCACCCTGAGGAACATCTTTATCCTTTAGCTCCAGTAGCTATACGTTTAAAGTCTAATAACTGAGATTCAACCTGTAGTTAACTGCTAAAGCGGCAAAGCGATGAGGCGAAGTACCGCTTTTTTGTAAAGCCACAGGCCACTTCAGACAGACCCATTAAGAGGCAAGATTTCTACAAATGCTTTTTATAACATGCAATGCCCGCCAAAAGTACTTTGAACTCCCAGCAATTTGCATTGCATTTTATATCTTTCATTCCTTTTCCGAAAAAAATACCACTTCCGCTCCCCTCACCCCGGAACAATGTTGGTGATTTAGAGAAATATCATAAAAGAAGCACGAAGGAACCGTTTCACAGCAAATCAACATTGTTCCATAGGGGGAGAGGGATTGTAGGTGTATTTTATATGCTGTTTACCTTAACAGTTAGTAGGTGCATCTGATCGGGTATAA